AAGCCTCCCCCGTGCTATAATGTCCGGACAGTATGAAGGTGTGAAAAACCCTGATCATAACCCAGCTGACTTCTTGTGATGTGAGAATTGTATGTGCCCATCAATACAACCCCACCCCCAAATAATGATATGGTCATGATGGATGGGGCGGGACTTCAACGCCCCCAATGCTCAATCCAAAGTTATGTTCTTGTCTTGGTGACCAGCCTGTGTTCTGCCCCCTAACATAATTTCTTGTAAACACAGCCCACCTTGACCGAATTAAGTACAAGACATTCCAATAAGCAATGACAAGCATTTAACAGGAAAAGGGAATTTTCACCTGACACTGTACTTTACATGATTGTAAAGTGATTTTTTGAACTGTCTCATAATGAGTCATTTCTCTTCCTTTTTTCCCCAGTTTTTGTCTTCATTTCCATTACTCACACTCAAATAATAACCCATTTCAGATCACCTTATTGAAGGTAATGGTTTTCTCACTTTAATTATGTATATTTCTTGCGAAACAGCCTTTTCCTCTGCCGGGCACTAGGTAACTAGGTAACTGCTGACATTTAATAAATAATTATCCATATCTGATATAACATACTGGGCTGTCTCAAACACGCCAGAGACGTTTAAATCACCCTATTAATTTAATAACAAATACCACATCAGTGCTCTAGCAAATGTTCCCTGTCTAGAGAAGGAGAATATTTTTATTAGGCAGGTTTTTGACTGAAGGTTTGCTGCTGTGTAAGTACTGTTTGTATAATCCCTATCATCTTACTATTTTTAAATTAAACAATGTTTAATTGTGGCAATTAATAACAAGCTAATGCTCATGTGAATGTAAACAGGCTTTGTGAGAATGTTATTTTCTCACTGTGCTACACTTTCCACACTGGGAGCAGTAGAGGTACTAAGTCCCTCAGCTCCTGGCCTATTTCTAAATCAATGTTTGACAAAGAGTTGCTCTCTCCTGCTGCACACGTGGGAGTTATTGAAGCTTGCAGACACTGAGAAGGCCACACACAAGGCAAGAGGAGCAGAGCCTTAACTCACTCTTTCAGTAATGGCAACCTGTACAAACTAAAGCAAGGAATCAATTGCCATTTCTATCATTTTCCAGTTTACCCTGACAATAACAAGTAAACAAATGTCATCAAATGTGTAAATATTGTACTCACCAGCGCCGTATATTTACGAAAGATCATTTTTCTTTTCTAAAGAAAACTGTGCATGCACTGACCAGTTTGCGATTTGCCATATGGTAGTGAGTGAAACTCACTTCCACCATATACTTATCAAGAAGATGGAAAGTGAATGTTTTAGGCATTATATTCAAGCATTTATGATATTTCAGTTTCAGTAGATATTTTGTGCAAAGCAACAGGTGCTGATCACACATGTACAGTGAATAACCAAATGGCCGATGTCAAGTTCAGTAAGTTAAGCAAAGCCTTACTCCACATTTAATATATTATTACGTCCTAAGAAAGAGATATACGCTAATTGAGTGAGACAAATAGGCAATCAGTGCTTAATACAGCATGTATATACACAAACACACAAAGCTAAACTGTTAGAAAGAGCTACAGCAAATGTAGCATTACATTTTTTTTATTGAAGAATTTCATATTTTTGAAGAGTGGAAGGAATTCAGAGGGGGATATCTTTCTCCATGGGGGGCCACGCTCGAAAGCAAATGTGACTGTGATTTCCAGTAACATTTGAAAATGGTAATGTTTATGGGAAGTATGTGTTCAAAAATGCGTGTTCAGTATCCATTAAACTCAGTATGTTTTTGAAAGAACTTACTACATATAGCTTAAAGCTGTCAGATCAGTCTTTTTTAAGATACTACAGATTAAAATAGGAAATATGGATATGAAGGCATTCAAGACATATTTAATATATCCTTGTCATAACCAAATCTGAATTTAAAAGGGAAAATGTGCTGTGGCAAGAATTGATGCCTAATTGAAGCTCTTCAGACGACTGACTAATGCTGATTACACACTTTTCTGATTGATTTTTTTCTTTTTTTTTCTCCTAAGGAAGACCAGTAGAATTTATATAGTTCATGAACAGACTTGCAATACAGTCTAAAAGTTCAAAATACAATGTTTTATTCTTTGTAGGTTAGCTGAATTACGGGTCCGCTCAGGTTGGGGAGCACTGCCACACCCACCACACGACTACACACCTCAGGATCCTGGCTGGCGACCAGGATGACATGTGATCCAGTCCCACCCTCCGGAAATGGCCGTCTATCTGCCGTAGCCAGGTGTTATGTGGGCGTCCCCTTGGCCTGGTCCAGCCGCTTGGGTCCTCAGCAATGAGGACCCTGTGAGCCGGATCTCCGTCCAGAAAATGCGCCACATGGCCATAGTGCCGTGACTGATGCTCCCGCACAATGCAGGTAATGCGCCTCATTCGGGACTCCTCTAGCAACCGCTCACTCGACACAAAGTCAAAGCAGCGTTACCCAAGGATTCGTTATAGTCAATATAGTACCAACGGAGTTGACTCTTCATCTCAGGTCACTGGATAGTAATCATTTTTTTTTTATCATTTTTAGTTTTTTTAAAATAAAGTGACTGTACCAAAATATTCATCCTGGCAGCGTGTGTACACCTTTTTTATGTAAAAACATTTTACAGGTGACATTTAATCTTGATATCTAGGAATCTTATGGAACAGCAACAGCGCTGACTTTAAAGATGCTGTCCTCTCGGTAGATTTTGAACCTTATAATCAGGTCATTAGCTTCAAAAGCCTAATAAATACACATAAGAAAACTTTCAATTGGGGACACATGCTAATATTTGAAATCAAAATGTTCAAATGAAGATCCTAATCTGAGCCGACCTGAAAATGTTACTTGCTCAGTTACTTGAAATGCTTTCCCCCCCCTGGATTTAGGTGCAAGCCATATGTTAACCAAAAAAAAAAAAGCTTCAGAATGCTGCTTCTCAAACAAAGGCGCTCTTAATATCTTAAAGTACAGTCCAAGTCACAGAGCCAAAGACCTGCATAGGTACAACACCTTGACTGACTTTAAAGAACTATAGAACTGTTCAGCAGTGTGTTGTATAGCCACATATACAGTATACAAAAGAAGATCAGGATCCGAATACTGCTCAGAGGTATAATAGCAATTGCCTTGAACTTACAATACTTTAGTCACAGGTGTAATGATTTAGCCAATAACATGGATATAGTTTTTATTTTGATATTGTGGTCACTCTTTAACTCCTCCAGCAGCCAGTAGTACAGTGCAATATATATTTTAATTTGACATCGGGAAGATAATATAAACCCCTCTCTTACCCCCGTTATTCATGTGACCATGTGATCATGCCATAAATTACAACAATTGAAAAATGTAACAATAATAAAGTACAAATAAACTATTTCTTAACTTCCCACTAAAGCATTCCTGCCATGCTTATTACACTATTGCATTGGAATTGAGTTCATTTGTTCTTTATTATATCCTGCTGTATTACACATTATTTCACTTGACTCTTCCAAATGAAAGTGTTGTGAATGACAAAAAGCAAAGTTTTTCTTTTAAAATCATGAAAGGAAAAGAATACTGCAAGCCACATGCAGTGATATCATTCTGAATTATGCATTAAAGCATATGAGAAACATATTTCAAAGATGAATGAAATATTGTAGAATCAATATGTTCCATATTGCATAATTAAACAATCATTGTAGTGAATGTCCCTGAAAAATTAAACATGGGTAACAGAAGGGTAATGATTACATACATAAAAAGGCAGATTCACCTGAGTTGTACTGAAGAAGGCCTCTTGGAACATCAAATGAGAAAATCTTAGTCATTATTTAAAAAAAAAAAAGTTGTCTTTAAAGGTAATAAAAATATCACATAAAATGTAACTGAAGTTTAATGAGTAGAGAAGTCGAGTAAACCTACTTTTTTTTTGATAGAATTTGCTGATGAAAAGACCCTGATTCCCAGTCTAAATGCACCATTTTCAACCTCAATTATATTTTAACTTTTAATGAGGATTCTGTTAATTTCAGTTGGACAGTTGCTGTCAGATGACCACGGGGTTCAGGTAAACATGTTCTTCCTTGTGTGCACATTAACATGAAAACCAAAGACCGAGAATAACTTTACGGCACCACTTTGGGTCATTTCCCTCAGCTAATTTCTCTCCACTGCAATACCCAGCTTGCTCTTAATATTTCTTGATGGTTATCAATACCCAAAGGATCCTTGAGTCAAAGGTAGGATATGTGGTGTATGTGGTGTATTGGTTCACATTAGACATGAATGACAATTGTTAATTGTTATGACAATGAACAGTAGCAGCCATCTAAAAATTTACATAAAAACGAGTATTATCAATGTATCTTCAAAATTAGTCTAACTTTATGGTTACATAATGTTGCATATAAAACTGCCATGTTCTTTGATTCAGATGAAGATGTGACACATGATAAATTCAGCGAAATGACTGAAATATTAAAGAGGCAAGAACATACACGCCAGCCCTCTTCCAGGTGCACAATGCCGCATTCCCCAATTCATTGACCTTTCAGAAGCACTGTGATGTTTTACTGATGATGTTCACAATCCTTTACAATGAGGCAGCCGTTACAGGGAATGACAAAAACATGTTTTTGATTTTATATCAAAAGCACACTTGTGTTTGTGTTTTTGGAGGAAAAAAAAAAACTTTGAGTTTCGCTACTATTACTTTCCACAAATAAAATGCATAGTATTTAGTAATTTGGAAAAAAAAGACAAATTTTAACACCCCTGAAAACTTTATCTTTGTTGAAATTGATATGCATGTCACTATTTATATACAAATACCCCAAAAGCATAATTAGACAATACTCGATTGTCCAATGACCTATGATTTATATATTTAAATGTGTATATTTACCATACGCCCCAACCACAATATCCGATGATTTTATACTCCTATGAGTAGCACTATTAGTTTGCTAATAATGAAGCAAGTCAGTTGTTCATGGCTTGTACTTCTTTAATTCTGTACATTAAAAACTATAAAGGTTTTACACGTTCTTTTCAATACATTAAGCCTTGTTAATCACGACATTTTACATTACATTTTATTCTCTTATCCAGAGCGATGTACATGGCCGAGGTGGCAGAAATGTAGTACATTCAGTGCATTAACAATGGACATTTGCAAAACAACATTGATAATATTCACTAATATACTAGCCGACTAATATAAAATATTAATATTTAGAGGATGGGAAACAGGACAGTCAATATAGGTGCAATCACTGTTCAAATCCTATTAAGCCAGCGACCTTGCAGTATTGCATTTATTTCATTTTTAAAGTGCATAACCTGAAATGACAGAAACATTTGTTTGTGCCTAAATTTCACTAACTGCCATATGTAAAAAATAAAATGCAAAGAAATAAAATACAGGTATAAGTTTTGTGTGAAATAGTATCTTTTCTTTTTTAAATGCCACAGATTGGCTGATGTGGGATATTCCAGGTTATATTATTTTCTGTGTTAAAAAATGACAAATTAATGGGATATGGCTGATCCCTCATATATGTGAGTCACGAACAATCTTGCCAATGACAACCGTTTTATATCGGTTTCTTAATGGGAATTCCTCCCTCGAAGCGAGGGAGAGTGAACTTGAGTAAGTGTTTGTTTTTCAAATTGGAATGAGGCCCTATACTGAACATGATATACAAAATAATTTCCCCTCACCTAAGACTCTCATTATTATGTTTTATTGCATGAAAAGGCTTAGCTCTGTTATCTTATGGAGTGAAAGTGATAGAGTACTGCACTTAGCTAACCAATTCTGGGGGGCGGGTGAGGATGAGTGTGTTTATGACGAATATGCATAGCCTGACTGGGCAGGTGCAGATTTCCTCATTTTTATGTCGCTTAAATCATACCATTAGAAGTCATTAATAAAACAGCTTGGAAACATTTGACAAAAAATCTTGACATTTATTTATTGTTTAACAAGTGTTGAACTTTACAGCTTTTTTTTAAAATGATGGCTTTAAACAACAAAGAATAGCGTACAGGTGCTGGCAGAACAACTCATACACCGTTTTAAAATTCTCATAAGGGTTTAAAATCTTAATATAAATAAAAGGCCAAATCAAGACGCCTGAACTGGGGATAAATGAAAATCTCGCTGGCGTTAAAACAAAAACAAAGTTGATGTCGAATGTCTCATGCCTAATCGTAAAACAGATTTAAAGTAATTTACTCTGATATGATTAATACCAAATTTGTGCAAGGCATTATATGTTGAATTTGGGAGTTCGATTCATACTATACTAAAATAATATATTTTGGCAATATGAAATTCAGAATTGTTGTCAAGATATATGGGTTATACAAGAAAAAACACGGTTCACAAGTGAAAAGTGTGAGCATGACATGGTCTTTTTCTTTACAATTTCTTTCATTATCTTGTTCAAACATACTCCAATGAATGAGGTGTAACACTTTGAGTAACATATGTGCAACTTTTACACAATAGCCTTTTCAAACTAAAATTTTAATTAAAATGTCTTTATATTTATGGTTGCCTTGAATTTTATTTTACACTAGCAATACAACAAAATATATATTATATATTGTTTTTTGCCATTATCCTTAACAACACTTTAATGTACAATTCAGAAAACATAAGGCCTGGGGCTTGATTGCTAGTGGTTTCAAGGTCCAATCTTCACCACGATAGGGGTGACTGTTCTAGGATCCAGGACTTTTATATTCATAATAATAGTCTTACCGGGAACACATCAAAAAACATCACATAGGTCTTTCCAGTTCAGATCCTGGAGCTTGATTTTGTATATAATACAAAACAGGTTTGATAAGGGTAATGGAAGTGTATGTACAATCATTGTTCAGAAACTGCTGAATTGGAATGGCCCGTTCTTCTGTTATTTTTTTTCAGTTGTTCAACAGCAGCAGCATATTTAAATACATAGTTGGCTTGTCTTTATTTATTTTTAATTCTGCTTGGTATGTACAGAGTCTGTTCACAGCTTCACAGCGATTTTCAAAGCCGACGCAGAACAACCTCCATGCACTGCAGACTGTCTGTGAAAAAATAAGGGTGGGGGGGGATAGAGAGCAAAATGCCAGGCTCTGTGGTAATACTTCCCACCGGTACACATTTCATGTCTTTCAGGGGGGGTTCAATTGAGAAGTAACTTGACTTAAATACATTTAGAGACTCGTCACCAGCTGCATCTGTCCTTCTCTCACTTCCTCCCCTTCTGGGATGCAGTCTTCTTTGTTAATAGGAATAATATACCCATCACTACTACCTTTGCTAATTTGGTAGTATGCCTGAAGCTGATGTCCGGCTCCGAGGTTAGGCATGCTTTTGTAATAAACATCGTCAATTTCGCTCCTTTTAGAAGGAGAGAGGTCCTCCTCTACATCCGGGCTACTCTCGGGGTAGGGAGAGTCTCTTAAATTAGGCATACTAGTGTACAGGGAGTCTCTGTTTGGGGACTGAAGGTTGTCCTCCACCTCAGCCGTGAGCTGAGACATGTAGCTGTCTATACCCTCCGTCTTCACTTTCTTCTGCGGGTGGTACAGAAGCGAGTGAGTCCGTTGTGGGATGAGCGGAGCCTCCAGCTCCTTGTGGTGCGGCTCCAGGCTGGGGTTTTCACCGTGCACCAAAGACGAAGCGTCGGCTACGATGGCGTCATCTTCGCTGCTGCTGCCACCCGCGGCCACTTTGCTCGAAGTCCTGTCCATGTTCTGGCTCTTGCTGCAAGCCCTGAGGTTATTGTGCACGAGCTCGGAGATGATCATTTTTTCAAAGGCCACATCATCCAGGCTGAGCCCACAGTCCACCACTCGCACACTGTCGCCGTAGTCCCCATTGCGAAGAGAGTAACTATTATTGAAATTACCATTTAGCGGTAGGGTATCCATTGCATTTGTATCCCTGGCACTGTTCAGGGAATTTCCTGAAATGAGAGAACATTAGATAGGGTTTACATTAGTTACCTTATGTGACTAAAGGACTAATAAGAATAATAATAATAATAATAATAATAATAATAATAATAATAAATACTGGTTTAATGCTGTTTAGGACACTGGTGTAATTACATGCATTGCACAATTTAGATAATGCACTTTTTACAACAATAAAAACTGGACGGTTCTTTGCAAAATAATTTAATCTATATAAAACAATAGAACTGTTCTTAAAATTACCTCTATTACTGCCACCTAATATAAATAATCAAGCCAGCTTGCAATTTATAACTTTAAAACTTTGTCCTGAACAACATTAAATGTATATGTAAACATCACGTACACAAAGCAGAAATACATATACAAATGTGTATCCACAAACGGGCAAGCTACTACCATTAACAGAAGTTTGAACAACTCTTTTTTTTTGGAGAAGGTGAAGTAAAAAAAAAAAAAAAAAAAAGATGTGATCATTCATGGACCTATAAAGAGAATTATGTTCAACACAGACAGCCATCTCTCTCACTACAGCGCCTCACAAGCATCACCCAACATCACGACAGACAGCAGGTGGAATGACTCACTTTAGACAACTCACATCATGTCTGTCTGCTCAGGCTATCTGGTCTAAGAGTAGCTGATGTACAAAAGAAAGTAAAATGATTTATTGTAACACGATGAATAATCACTGAAGGAACAAAAACCAAAATAAAAAAAGCACAGTAAGAGCAAGGGTTCAGCAAATTAAATTAGCAAGCAATCAGCTAATTCTGATTAAAAGTCATTTTTCCCCCTCATCATTAACTGACTGAATGTATGCTTTTACAGTGTTTATATGGCAGCTACTGCCCAAGGCCAAAAAAGGTCAGAGGTAGCCTATGTCCCCCCCCACCCGCATCAGTCACAGTAACAGGTCCACATGTAGCCGCAGTTATTACAGGTGTGGACCAGGAAAAAAAAAAAAAATCTGTCGGAGAGGTCAAATGCAGCAATGGAAGGAATTTCTACAACTATGGGACGTTGCTCAGGAAGCAGAAGATTAAAACAAAATATCAGCATAGGGTGAAATGGGTGAAAGAAGAATAAGAGGAGCAGAACAAAGAGGAATACAGTATTGATCATGGCAGGTCAATCACAGCAAGACAAGAGAAGTTAAGTTCCTGTCGGGCATATGATAAAGAGGATTAGGGAGGGGAGGAGTAAACGGAATGGATGGGTCTTTTATGGTGACATGCTGTTGTTCTGATAAGGGAATCCCTTTGTAGACAAACAAACATAAAACATATAAGGGTTTATCAGGAAAACGACAAAGAGGACAAAATGTAGTTAAAAAAATGAATACCCATCATAGTGACAATCTTAGCATAATTACTAATTTCTATTAAAAACAACAGTCACTCAGAAAATGTGATGTCTGAAGAGGGGGAAGTGATGCGAATGAAATGAAGCTGCACACTGCAAGACTGCTGCACTACATCGGCCATCTATCAAATTTAACACGTTTACGGTTTCCCCCAACTAACACCAAAAAATAGGCAGACTCTGCTGTTAATCAACAGGTTTCAGAAATGGTTCCGCATTATTTATTTTCCTAAATATAGATATTCTATATTACCAGTTTAGAATGGAGATTTGCTCTTATTAAAATTCGATGCGATGTTATATACACTAAATCTACATACAAAAAAAGTTTAAATCCGAAAATATAATGAATTTAGTAAACATAAATATATATGTATTTTCTTCCAGAGGTAATTCCCAGAAACTTCCTCTAAATCATGCACAGATTAATATAGTGAAACTTTTATGCTATTCATTGATATAGCTGTATTCATCTGGTGTACTTTAGCTGACATTTTGTGAACCACTTGCCCACTGAGTGTATGCTGATGATCTGAAGTAAACCACTGATTATGCCGGAAGTTGTTTTTTAATAACCATGCTGAAAAAAATTTACATTTGATAGGCAAAGTTAAGTTTTACTCCCATACTTGTCTCTCTGTAGTTCACTAGAGGGAAGCATAAGGAAAAGAGCAAATAAATAAACAAACAAACAAACAAACAAATATATATATATATATATATTAACATGTCATTTTCCAAATTGGCATACTAAAGATATATCACAAGTCCTCAGATTTGTATTTTAATTTATATAAATAAATATAATATGATTTATTTATTTGCAAATTTCAGAACACTGTTAAAAGAAAGAAATCATATGTGAAAACAGCAGTTAGATACACTGAATGCCATTATCATTCTTCTCTATTGCCATGCATTTCGGTATTCCCAAATATCAGATACTCCAGTTCCACGTCAAAGATTTTCTTTTAACAGTGAATAAATAAGAAAAAATAAAGGGTGATGGGGTAAATTTTACCTTCCACTTCTTTGTGTTATATAGCATAAAAACTGTAAACATGCACCTTTAACTATAGGTATTTTGTCCGATTTTTAAGAATACTGTTCTTGATGGTAACAGTGAATTCATGTACAGTGGTACCTCAGTTCTCGAACTCATTAGAACTTGAATTTCTTAAAAGTCGAACCAACCAGTTAGAAAAAAAATTACCTAGAACTCGATCTGAATCTCAGAAGTCGAACCGTAAACGCCGACCTAAGATAACTTGTATGCGCGGGGAAATGAGTCACGCGGCACGTCTCTCAGCGGAAACAAAGGGTAACGCTTCAGTCTCAGCCTCACATTCACTGTGATAGCATCGTGCATGTTTACACTAGCTGAATACATATATTTAGACGGTAAATATTTACAGTTTAATACAAAGACAAAGGCGCAGACATCAGGGTATTGGGGAATACAGGGTTTAATTACAGGTAAGGCAGGCAAAACGCAGACGGACAATACAATGACCGGACTGGGGAAACAAACTGAAACGGGGACGAAATACAGAGGACTAATGACAACCAGAAACACGGGGTTAACGAGGGGGCGTGGCACACGGAAGGAGCGGACGATCGGGGCATGACACATTGTTTTTTTTTTTTTTTTTTAACTTTACACATTGTTTGGATACATTTATTTTCTTACTTAACAAAATTACTGTTTTGATATGTTTAGTACAGTATATGCTTTTCTTGTTTTGTCCGGTTCATTTTGTGTTTAATGCTAAAAAAACATATTTCGTGTATTTTTTTGGGGCCGGGAACCAATTAATTAGTAATAAATAATGATTTCTTATGGGGAAAATTCGATCAGAACTCAAACTTTTTAGGATTCGGTCCGGAGTTCTAAATGGATTAATTTCGAGTTCTGAGGTACCACTGTACTTATCACTGTGTTCAGAGACTTAAATAAAGTGCACATTTTAAAATGTATACAAAACAGTATCACCTTTCTAACAATTACCACGGCAGTGATCATCTCTAAACGGCTGGTGGTAGTGCTCTACACAATGAGGGTGTCTCATAAGAAAGGCCAAATCAAAAAGTATGACTTTATATATAAAATTATTGTTATAAAAAGTGATACTACATCGTATACACCTTAACACAGAAATAATGCCAAGAGTTTTAAAAAAAAAAAAAAAAAACATAACAAACACATGCTTTTCTGAAGTGGTAAGTAAGCACACCTGGAGAGTTAAACACTGGAGCCGTGGGACTGTTACATACAACAGTTTCAGCGAGTAGGGTGTTATAGGGATTGTTAGTGCCTTGTGGTCGAAGGAGAGGATTTGTTAGTAGATAATTGCCCGTCATCCCTGGAGCAGTGAGACAGAAGAAGACAGGTAAGTCCTATTAGTGCACTGCTTCTTGAAGTAAGTGTCCCATGACCATAGTGTCAAATGACATTGAACAAATACACAATATCCATTTTAATTCTAAAAGAGGCTTCTTAACACTATTTCACATTGAAAGAGAACATTTTCTCTCTTTCTGCTATTATGATAATATGTGACAAACTGTTTTAGGAAGAGCTGTCAGGGTTTTTTTTTTTGGTTAATAAATAGATTTGAATTTTGAAAGCAAATTAATGTGCAGCAGTAAAATCTAAATTATTTTAAATGTATTAGTGATGGCAGATCAAATAGCAAGGAACTGAAATTTGTGAAATATAAAAGAAAAACGAGCACTAAGGTAAACGTATTTCTATTTTTTATAATTGTTTTTTTTATTGTTTTCTTTTCTTACTGCAAAGACAGAATAAAAACACGCAGGAAAAGAAATAATACCTATCTGGGTGGAAAATAGCTAAAACACAGCCTGAATGTATCTTCAATAACAGTTAGTCAGCCCTAAGGGCTGTTTTCTGTTTTTGCCGAAGCTATTTTAACATATTAAACAAGCCACACAAAGTATTTGTTAAATTTCCGCTACTGTATTATTCAAGTTTCATGTTGAAATCTCAAGACCTCCATCTTCTTAATGCCATTTCAAAGAATAAGTGCATAAAGGTGAGCAATTGTTTCATAATGAGAAATTGACTTGGTATTCAAAAGGTGCAGGTATTTTTTTTTAAAGACAGTTTACTTATTTTTCCACTTCTCAGATATTTTAGGTGACAATGCATAATAAACTAGTGGAGATTTCATCTTTAGTGATTTCAAGGGTCAAAGGCTTTACATTTTTCTGTGACGTTTGTTGTACTATATACCAAATAAATCAGAAAAAAATCCTGCTATTTCCCCAGAGAAATAGGGTTTTCTTTTAAGAAATATATTGCAATATTCATTTATATCCCTTGAAGGCTAACAGCAATGAAAGAAAAGTCCATTAACCACATCTTACCTGCCTCCTTTCAAATTTAAAAAAAAAAATCATTTTCAGATTGCCAGTTCAGTGAAACTGTACTCAATACTATGAAATCAATAATTTGATAAATAGCAACAGCCAGTATTTACTGCAACTTTCTGATTTATAATCCACAAACTTTGAGTAGCTAGGTTTTATAGTAACGTTCTTTATCAACATTTCTGAAAATTGTCTGTAACTTCTACATAAAGAGAGATTTCTTTTTAACAAACTGAAGAAAAAAGCCGAAGACTGACCTTGGTTAAGGGTGGAGGTGCTGTTGATGTCACCTGAGATGAAGGAGGACTCAGACTGCTTCCTTACGGTGTCATTCCACATCCGTCTGATACGGCTCTGTACAATAAACATTAAGGGACTATTAAGAGACAGCTATGGCTTTATAGTACTCAGTTTCCCTTTCTTTGGGGGTTTTTTTTCATTTTGTCATTTTCTATATAAAATTTCAGTTCTTTGACACTGCATCAGCATCCTTCTATGTTCAGTACACAATTTAAACTCCATTCTGCCATGTTGACTATGTGGATATTTAAAAAAAAAAAAACATATTTTGAAAGCATAGATCCATTAATACACAGAATATTCCTTCACTGTGCTACTAACTTAAAATATGCTCAGCATGATCTTACATTAAAGGTGATAAATGCGGTTTTCTTTAGTTGCGTTTACCTGTGTGCCGGAGGAGTAGCGGGCACTAGCCCTGGCAGTCGATGTCTTTGTTGAACTGTGGGAGCTCTCTGTGGGCAATCTACCACAGCAGTAGTTGTGGCGGAAGCATTTGCTGTATTCTTTACGAACCTGGGTAAAGAAATCATTTGGAAAGAGGGACTGTCATGATTAAAACATTTATAATTCCGAGACAGGGTAGTATTCATGTTCATCGCTAGAGTGTCATCTTGGGCCTCATGCACAATGTGGACTTCCTCGTCCAACCGTGTCTAATATTAAGTGAAGAAATCAGCCGTCCACATCAGCTCTAAAGATGGCTTATGAACAGATTCTAATTTTCCCTGGGGCTAAGTTCGTGAAAAGGGCTTTCATACATCTGGATTTACTATGCAGATTCAGTATGACTGGTTGTTTCACAAAAATCTTGCGCTAGCAAGCATACAGGAAGTTCTGTGAGTAACTTGCTATTTTTAGAGTTGAAGTTCAGTCACTGCAGCAGCTGTAAACCCATAAGTACCCCAGACAGGAAGACATTCAGCCCGGCTTGGTTCTTGGTAACCCTATATCCAGGGTGTCCCCTGCCTTGTGCCCTGTGCTTCTAAGGATTGACTCCAGGCTTCCCAAGACCCAGTACTGGGTCAGAGATTGTGGAAGACACTGAGCATAACCAATAATACATTGAAAATTACTGCAAAAGACAAATTAATTTCTACTAAGAAATGTCTTTTTATGTTGCAGTCTGAAGTGGAACTCGTAACTGATTTCCATGTGTACCTAAGGTCAATTCTACCAAAGGATCCTTTTCTCCAAATTTAGCTTTGTCATGTAGCAGATCCAACAAACACATAAAATCACTACAATGTAACTATTTTCATAATGCACAGCAAGTTGGTACACAGCAACATCCTGTATAGCTTCTTGGACAGTTCCGTTAGTATTTTCCAATTAAAATATAATTTTCTGTTTTTTTTATTTTTTATTTATTTCCATTGGCATTAAATTTGAAGTAACTGAATATGAAATTAAATTGCTATTATTAAGTGCACTTGACTAGGAAATATGTTACTTCTCTATTGTCAGTGTCCAATGAAAACCATCTATGTCCACTTATTGACGATTATGACTTGATGGAATACGGCTGTTTCCTCCGTCTACTGATAGCATTTGACACCTAACTGAACAAAGAACTAACATACTTTATTAGTATCTCTATTGCGTGCCTGAAGTGTCCGTCGAAACTGCATATCCATGTTTTTGGAAGAGCGCCAACTAATTTACCAGTGTGGAAGAAAAAGTTCTGAGACAAAAAGTTCTAGTGACGTTAATGCCACTACGCACCTCTCCCCAGGCCTACTAAAACTTTTTCTTCCGCATGGCAAGAAATCTTGTGCTGCAGTTTGTTTGAGCCAGATACTGCTGTCATGGTAAAGTGGCACCCTAAGCTTCTTGTCTGGAAACATCATTTATATGTTTGTACTAGTTAACGTTTGTATTCATGATGGTTATTCATATGGATTAATTCTTATTACTGTATCACTTCATATCAACTTAACATAGACAGCCAGATAGGATAGTTAGATAAAGTTCTGATTATGTATAAACATTAACACTATCTATCTACAATCTTCCGAATTCTTGGAATGTAGTGAACAGGATGGTGCGGCTTGAACTAACCGTACGCCACTGGAACGTATGATAAGAAAACCACGTACGTCCACGTTTACCGACAATAACCCACATAAGTCTATTTAAAACATTAAACCCTCATCTGAGAGCTGTGTAAAAAAGTATTGATTTGTGGTGCTAAGGGTGTCCCATTATGGTGTTTTAGGTTTATTTTGTAAAGTAGTTTCTGAGAAAATGCTTTTTTTCATGGCCCCAAAATAATGGGTTTGGCAATGTGCTTTTCATTGGACAGCGACGATATGTGAAAGTAGCACCAACCCAGCTATTTTGCAAGCAGTGTCATTTTGTAAATGTATGTTGGTTAAACACCGACGTCTCGCAAGTCCTTGCAGGTGCATCGTATTGAGTTTAACAGTAATTCATATTTAATTTGTTTATATGTTTCAGAACGTTTATCACAACTAAAGAGGAATTTTAAATATGTCCATTTAACAACAGTCATTTATTGAGTTATCAAACATGAGCTTGCGATGAATGATTTTACTGTCTGGAATGCAAATGCCGAGTCATAAGAATCTCTAGGAAATAGCAACTGGGAGCCGGATATTTAGCTGAATATTTCAGCAAATTCAAAATACATAAAGTCAAGCCATTAAACATAGCCGTCATATTGATTTCTTTTATAAAAGTAAAAGTCCATTCAGAATTTACCTTTTTAGTGTGATATTGCTTCATTGAAAACATAATGATCATAACTGTGTTTAAAAAAATAAAAAATGCAAAATGTTATATGTAAAACTGAAGGGAGCCACCAACCAAACGTAATGCCTTTTCAAAGTTTTTGCAAAATATTAAGCAAATCCTATTCACTTTTGAAAATAATGACATTGTGATCTGACTGATGTGCCTGATGTATAGGACGATTCCAGTCTCTTAATTGAGTCATGACATTACATTAATTCTGATTGGTTTCAATTTCTGAATCATTGAGGGCCTTTATATAATATTACACATCTTAGGTTTCTAGAAAAGTACACAGTGAAATTCCCACTAATGAAACTGGGAGCTGCTTTATAAATGACACTGAAAACATCATCTACTAGGGTGCATGGTATAGCTGTGTATACTTATAAACATGCATACATACATACATACATACATACAGATGTCAAGACCTATCCCGCGGATTATATTTGATGGTGGACCTGTACAGGTTATTATAAATTCGCAGCGCTTTCCTTAGACTCAGACTATTATACTTTATGTGCCAAGTTTTTTTGTTATTGATCAGTGCTTAGTTTTCTATTCAAGGAAAAAAAGGACAAAACTAATTAAATTAATAGAAATAAATGAAAATGATGACCTACAGCTGGTGGAATGTGCAAAAAGAGCCAGATGCAGATAATTTCCAGTTTGATCAGACTACCTAGTAACAGATGGATACTGTCATGTTACAGCTTGACATATGCTACGTATTTAATTAATTTAAATGATATGTGCTTACTTTTTTCTGCAGCAGGCAGTGGAATATAAAGATGAACATCCCCTGAAAGGTGTTGAATATTGTAAAGAGATAAGCCATGACCACGGAGGATTCGTTGAGAAAAAATAAGCCAAATGACCAGGTCAACCCCAGCAGGCAGAGTAAAGCAAAAGCACCAATCACCCAGGACCTGAAATATAAAACAAAGCAAAATCATTAGGTTCTTAATTCTGCTTCTGCCTCCTGCGGGACCACGCCCCTCAAATAAATAAACAAACAAACAAACAAATATAATTGTTAATAAATAAATATGAGAGCCAACACCTTTTAAAATCCATAAAAAATACAAATTTCTCAAGAAGCTTATTTATTGTCTCATATCATATTTTAAGGCAGGATACCAACTGATTAGGTAGGTAGATAGATAGACCTATCATCCAAAGAAAAGGCAGTTTTATATTTATATATATATATATATATATATATATATATCCCCACTACAATAATACCAAACAGTTCACTACATTATTTGTTTAAGAGTATGCTCTCAGCACATCACTTCGACAGCTGGGAAAGTACAGAGATAGTTAGAAAAGACGGGGCACACACAAAGTGTTTGAAGGGTCCCAGGAGCCTTCGTACACTTTCAGAAATCAGATGTAAACTAGGATGAGCATGACATGGATGCACACATACAACAGAGAATGAGAAACCTTGGAACTAGTGACTTGGACGGTACAATGAAGGTCAGCCGCAAGCTGAAAAACAAAATGTCTCGCTAATGTTCTTACTTGATAAATGGCTTATTATCTTCATAGCTAGAAAGCATGACAAGCAGGAAAGAGAAACACAAATTAGACCATGAGGAGTACAAATTAGTAACAGTAGATTGATAAAATATAAACTTGGAGAAACTGGGTCAAAATTAAGAGATAAAATTAGGAGACAAGTGCAAGTAATAAAAAGAAAATGTTTGTTTTTTTTTGCTTTTTAACTTAATAACGAACTACAGTTTTGCCATTGCAAACACTGAATTGTTACTATAACAAATGTATAGCTAGAGTGTTTAATTAATCAAATTGTGAATGTAGACTCAATGTAGCTTACCCAGGCAAATCGGTATTATAGTAGCCATCGCAAACACGGTAATTACTGGCGTGAACAAGAAGTTAGGGAGGAGAGAAGAAATGAGAAGAAAAAAGATATACTACAGATTAGCTATTACTTCCAACATGTAGTTTGAAATGAAGCTGTTAATTGTGTTTTTTTTCTAGATCATTTCTAGTGATTCTGTTGAAAACAGTGAGACCAACTGGAAGACAACAAAAAAAAAGTTTTTAAATAAAATATGCATGAATTTCACATTTAATATTAAATATGATCTCTTATTTTTGCTCCTTGGTGAAGCATTATGTAAATTCATCTCTTAAAATATATATAAAGATTGACACATTTGTGCCCACAAATTATGATAAAACATTCAAACAGTAATGAGATATGGCACTAAAATTATTTACATAACCCTGAACCTTGACAACACTGAAAAATAAGATATAAATCCATCAACGGTACTATTTGCATAGTAATTATTTGTTAGATATTCATATCTCATTACTATTAATTTAGAACTTTGTTATGTTACTGGCATACTGCATTTTTTCCAGATATAAAAACAGACCAAAACAAATTGTTTGGTTTGTGGTACTCTTTCCAAAAGTCACATTACTAGGAATGAACATTCCTTACACATTCCTTTCACATTCCTTACACAGTCCCGTGGATATTTATTAATCATAATAAAACCGTGTTATTATATTCATAGTTAAATATCTTCATGAGTTTTATTTTAATCAATTCCTTCTAGGACAGATAAAAATAGGAATAGTGAACTCGTCAGGGGAAACATTAAATGAGTTATTCTCACACTAGGTGCTTGAATGCATTAAGTTTTTTTTTTTTTTTTTTTAAATCCCCAGCCTAGAGCACCTTCCAACATCTGTTAGAATCTGCGTCCTAGAAAGATTCTGCCAGGCCAGCAGAATTGCGTGGCCACTCAAAATGAGGCATAAAATAAAGAATCTAAAGAAAGGGCAAAACGTACTGTCAGCATCACCGTATTTTACATATAAAACCTTTGTTAATATTTCTTGACGACGAGTGTGATACGCAGAGAAAGAGGACTTCAAAAGCATTCTGAGAACAAGAACATTAACAAGACATTTATAATTGATGCAGCGCACCCTGAAATGACAAAAACTGGAGAGTTTGGAAAATAAATTAAAAAAAAGAAAGAAAGGAGTCATCAGAAGGGCTAATATATTGGTCTGTAGTGCATTTATTCCAGGGGATGTCTTGTTAGTAATTGCAGTAAGAATATAACTTATATAAGGAAATCCATTTTAACATCCATCCTTCTTCCAGCTGCATATTTAGTACAGGGTATTGGGGTGCGGGGGGGCTAATCCATGCAGCATAGGGCAAAAGGCTTGGTTGCAACCTGGATGGGATGCCAGTCCAATGCATGACAAACACACCCTCACTATGGGCGTCGTTAGCGCCGATCACTTGGGGCTGTAGCCCCCAGGATTTTAACCCTAGCCCAAGTATTCAGCCCCTATGCCAATCTTCCTTCCTTTTAAAAAAAAAAAAACGACGTCAATCCCCAGGTAAACTTGACTTAGCCTCTGGTCTTATAGCTAGAAACTCCCCTGACCAACACTATGGGAAACTTCGAGACACCAATTAGCCTAACTACATGTCTTTAGCCTGTGGGAAGAAAACTGGATACCCAGAGAGAGCCTGTGTCACATGGGCAGAGCATGCAAGCCCCCGCACACAGAGCGTGTGTGAGATTCAGCCCCCAACCCTGCAGATACCAGGCTGCAGTGCTGCCCACTGAGTCACCCATTTTAACATACATCCCACCAACAATGAAATGAACATCATAAAATCATACTTACTTAATATTTTCCAACCTGCTGGAGTCTGGTTTCAGTGAAGTGGAATGCTTAACCATTTTGTACAAGGTTATTAGAAGGAAGACGAGATTTAACTGTCAAAATAAGAAAAAAAAAGGATCAGTTTTCCTTTTAAAGAGTAATATCTTTCAAAGTTTCTCCCTCTCACTGTGTATTGTAATTTACATCTACACTGCTGCAAGACTTAGACAAGAAGCCCGGTGCCAAATATAGTCCCATTCTATATCAATAAGAGCATAAAAATGCATTAAAATTGAATGCAGGTAAAAAAAAAAATGCAGCTAAAGCAAAGCTCTGAGAAAAACCATACAGAAAATAATCTGAGATCATGATATTGTGGGGAAAAAATAAAAGTCTCTTATGAGAAAAAAACAATAACATATTCAAAGCTATGAAAGCATTTATACATTCAGGAAATTTCTGAGCAGGGACCGGAAAAGAAAAAAAAAATCACTTCCTTACAGACACATAATTGATTTGCATTCGTTTGGTTGCCTTGTTTTAATATCACATAAAATCTTAAATTACATTAAATAAAATTTTATTTAATAAATTGAGTCATCGATATCAGATAAAGACTATGTAACAAAACATCAGATTTCAATTTTTTTTACCCCCTAAAATCGATGTAATGATTTAAAGGCTCATTGGGCTAGCCATAACCATGACAGTTGCAAGCCCAACAATTCTAGTTTTTGCCATTTTCTGAGACACAGTTACAAAACTGCAAAAGAATAAGTGACACATACACTATAGTCTGTGTGGGAAATTTTAAATTTGAAATAAAGTTCAATGTCTTTCACCAACAGCAGCTAATATGCATAAAATAAGTTAATTTTGGTACAACTGTACACCAAAAATTGTAATTTTGAAATCATTGTAAGCTTATAATCATGCCTTGCCTTACTAAAAAAAAGAAATGCGTAGCAGTTCACTATATAACATCTTTAATGTTATTGTACTTATGAAACATTTGATACTTTTTCTGTTTTTCTATTAAAATTTGGAATACACTGTACATAAGCTTTTGTTACAAATCCAGACTACTTAGACATTATAGGTCAATACGGACTTAGACATTGACAGCTACATGTAATATGGCCTCTTTCCAGCACACACAAGCAAATTCTTAACAAAAAAGCATGAGTGTAATAATGCTGCAATTTCCTTCCCAATCAAGAGCTAAACTTTCAGCAAGTATTACTATCTTGTCTTTCGTGGCAACCAGCTGAGATCAACAAACACTCACAAGAAGAAACTAAATATCCAGAGCTTGTGTCTTTTCTCATGACTAGACTCCTGGCCTTATCATCCCATCATATCTGTGGTCTTCATCCTGACGTCCAGACAGCGTATTAATCAATACCCGCTTTCCAGTCACCAACCAGTGGAGCCACACAATGTTGCGGGTATGGAAGGGGAAAAATAGCATAGGGCTCTTTAGATCATAGTATACAACGTCGTCCCATTTTGTCTTAAAACCCATCACTGCCTTGCTCAAGTCAAGCCAGCCAAAATGCATTTCAAACAGCTTGCAACAGTGACACGGATCTGATGGGACAGAAGAATGAAAAAACAGGGCTCTAAAGTGAGCTGCCGGCACGGCACGTTTTTCCCCCACTCCGTGTTTTTGCCCCCCTTGGGGCTTCCGTTACCCCGGCAGAAGTGCCTCAGAGTTCGCCTCGCCTATCAGAAACCTCGCTGTTAGCCATGCAGAAGTCCCCCTTACCCGGGGACAGAGGAGAAAGCTTTTCGAGTGAGCGCACGTGCACGCTGAACTTCAAATGAACCGGATGAAATATTAAAGGTGCAGATGGAACTGTCCGGATGAGGAGAAGAGCTCATGACATTTCACGATCTGAGGTTGTGTTAAAGCATTTCAGGCTTGTTAATGGTGCCTTGCTAGTCATTACGCTCATGTTCCTTTTTCATTGAGCTAACAGCCCCTGTGCCAGAGGCAGAGCAACTAATGCTTTCAAACAAGCTTAAAGAAGTTTGGTTTTGAAATGCTTACGCTATTCTGAGATGAACGACAAGCACTGCAAGGTCTATCAGAATGTTACACAGCTGGCTGCACTGTTTTCTGAAGGCAGCCAGAGTTGCTCATAACATCAGTCAAGTTCAAGAAGTCCACACCTCGCAAAAATTCATACTTATCTTTTGTCATCAGTCAACCTAAAAATCAGTCCCAGAATCTCTAACTCTGTGATCATTATCACTCAATATGGCCTTGTGTTTTATGTCACCGTTAACTAGAAAAGAGATTCTTATTATCTTCGGGGCCTAATGTAGTTTTAATACTCCTTTTAAAAGAAAATGAGAAACGTAGCCCGCAATGAAAGGTGTGTAAAATATCGCAGTTTTCAATAGCTGTTTGCCATAAGAGGAGAACGGAAGGTCTATATCATAAAATACTGCCAGTCAAGCGAGTTTACATGGCGAGACGGTACTTATGCAATATTGACTGCATTCCTGGAGAAAGACACAAATAGGATAATACACAAAATATTTTCTGAACCATTAATCAACTGCTAGTGTGAAAGTTTAAAGGTCAAGGCAATAGATGGTAAGCAGACATCTCCAACGGTCCGTCAAAAAATTGCTACCGGCTCTTTCATTTTTTTTAAGCACGGACCACTACTCCCCCAGGTCTCTTAGCAATGTGCCTCACCGATTACATGGTAATGATGTCATGACCAGTAAATATCATGGCATGACACACATAGTATGTCAATATAATATGCAATCATGTTAGACTTCAAAATAAATATTTTCAGTTATTAAACTCAGATGGAATTCACAGTTAAATATGGGGTACTTTGATAACTGCAAAACAACATCATACAGTATATTGTTAGTGGAAAAATTATCATGTAGATGCTGCATGTTTAATCCACAATTAAAGGAACACAAAAACATATTCATGTCCGTTGTCTTAGAATTAAATAAGCACATACGGATATATGTACAATAACTAAATGAATTAGTAGCATTGACAATAAGCCATGACAATAAGAATAACATTTATTAAGGAATTAATTATTTATTCCCAACTAAAAAAATATTTAAAAAAACAAGAATACTGCATAATGTATAATGGTTTAAAAAAAACTGATAAATAAATAATTCAGGAAAAAATTATCCTATTAACCTAACTTTACAAGACGGGCTATACAAGCCGATAATTGCTAATATTTGTCTCAGGAATTACTTGTCACACGAACTGTGTACAGAAGTGCAAGTTCTAATTAAACTTTGCTTATTACTTCAGGCAACTATTGAGAAGCAGAGTGAGTGACATCATCAAACAAATAATGGTGAAAGCATAAAATATTACCGTAATGATAAATGTCACCGGACCTATGAAGCTCCATATAAAGTGGTTGTCAACCCTTAACCAGCACCTGCAATCAAACACAGGAAATTTTATGTACATTTTGCACACACACATGGGATAACGGTAATATTTTCATGCAGAAGGAAATGCAACAGTGGTACACTCATATCAAGGGCTGTTAAAGAAATTAGTTCAATGTAACATTTTCTAACTGTTCTGCATGGAAAAAAAAAATCCAGTGAACCACTCTTTAACTTACGCTTTTTTTGTTCCATAACTCCTGTAGTCGATAGCTGCAGACACGCCCACCACTATGGCTGGGACAAGGTAGCCAGAAACGTAATAGTACTTCTTACGGGAATATTCACTTTCAAAAACCTCCACCAGCATGAGGTAAAGCTGCACGCCCTCCAGACACATCCAGCAAAATGCAGCGAGGAAGAAAAAATGCAGAATCCCAGCTATAATGGAGCATCCGATCTGCGATAAAACAGGAAAAAAGAACATCTCCATAAACATCAAGTTCCATAACTGTTTTCATCTTGTAACATTCCCAAATGCCTGATTGTGGCGAGACTGGAGCCTATCCCAAACACAGGGCATGACACCCTGGAAGGGATATCAGAGCTTCGCAGGACACAGACGCATACGCAGACATAAAAACGGGGAACATGCACACTGACGCAGGAGTCAGATCTACCTCCCTGGAGATGTGAGGCTACAATGTTATCAGCCAAATAACTGTATTGCCCCAGACTCATATACAATTTGTATGCGTGCAATTGAATATAATGAGAAATAGGACGAATATTGCTTTCATTAATAAATATTTGTATACACAAAAATAATTAGCAGGATCTATGCATTAGACTATGCTTCTTAATTAGCAAATATTCTGAATTTCACTTTTGAACAATACTGGACAAAATATTTTCTTTTCATGACTTCCTTCCTATTGTTCAACATACAGATTTGAACTTTTGGTGCATATATATTATTTGTGTACCCTGTAGGGTTTAAATGTCACCCAGTTTCATTATTTTGGCACGTGCACAACCAAATAGACCACATTTTCAAAGAAGGAAAGGAAAAAAAGAAAACGTTAATTCACAGGATGTTAAAAACCAAACACATTAATAAAAGGGCAGAAAAGGACTTTAAATTGCTGTAAAGTATTTTTTTTAATGATGTGAAGGTGAACATCTTTCAGTTACATCTTGCATTTCTATAAGTTCACAACCTGGCTATAACCGTGGGTGACAGAGAGTGAAGAGCCCTGCCCTGGGTTCTTTCATCTGTATCCGTGGTGCTGACTGAGCCATGCTGTTTCAGGGAAATAGCACGGAAGCCTGAGAGGCAGAGTCATGTTTAAATTCATCAGTGTGAGGTAGAGAGCTTTTATTTTTGGTGAGGAAACGAGGAAATGGATCACAAAATCAATACTAAAATCTTAGTGCTTACCCTCGGTTCCGTCATATCGATGCTAATTAGAAAAATTAACTCGGCGACGAAGAGATTGACACACAGGTTTTTGTGGATGGTATTGCGGTCACTCTGCAAGCCCCGGAAAAAGCAGAAAGTGAAGATGCTGATGGCCAAGCAAACCAGAGAGATGATTATCCCCACCCGGGTGATAACTGTCAAGAGCAGCTCATGGACTGCGTCTTTGCCCTGAAAAACAAAGCACAGCACAAATTAATATTTCCCTCTTTTCCATAAAACACAGGTGTCCAGTGGACATGGATGGGAACAGTTATTTTGTGTCATAATCTGATATTATGACTGACTCATACATTCATCAAAAAAAGCTATAATGAAGGAGCAATACTAAATTCACCTTACTCTCTCAATAAATCAGAGCAGCGGAGATAGAATATTCAACTCACCGCAATTTCACGATGTGCCATAAGTATGGCAAAGTTGGTGAGATGACTGCAGGAACATGTTGTGTGCGTCTTATTTGCATTAACGAGTTTGCAGCCCTGAGTGGACCAGTATCCCATCATGCTTCTCTCCGAATAGTTCCAGAAGGAACAGTTTGAGTTAAAATAGTTCTCCGTCTGAAAACAGTTGAAATGAAGGTATAAGTGTGTAAAGATGTCTATTAAATGCAATACAAACACATACTGTTACAGTCAGTGAGCTTGTTTTTGTTTTTTTATACAGCTGACTGCCATTGGCGTTGCTAATTACCAGCCTCCTTAAAAACTTCATAATGGTTTATCAATAGGTCTGCACAATTTCCCACACAGAGAAGAGAATCAGCTGAGACTGCCTGAGATCCCTTTTCAGAACTTTAAAAAGACAGAGGGTAATTGGTCCACAAATTGTCACATGCATTGTATAGCTAATCTACGAGTTAATTTCCCACAATTAAAGAAAATGGCATCATTTACATTCTAATGTTGATTAAACAATCAGTTTTCATTAAGAATTCACTTAAGTTCTAATAACCATTGGTGCAGACTTATTTAATTTTATGTTCAATGACTTAAATAAACTCTTCCGTGACCCAGCCAAGCATTTACAATTCAAATGGAGGGATTCTGTCTGCCTAGCTGTTCTTTCTCACTGGTTTTATGACCTTTCCATTAATTCATCAGGAGGACTCACATCAATGTGCTCCAGGGTAAAAATCACAGGGTCCGTAATAAACACACGACTGGACTCTTTGTTGATCGAGGCTGAAATAATATGTGAGTTCACAGCAACAGAATGGTTTTGTCTGCTAGCCTCATTGCCAAATTTAATCGTGGCATTTTCTGTGCTGAGAAACTGCCCCAGGTTTTTGTAAAGAACAAACACCAACTTTGCAACACCTAAAGACAAGGAAAAAAAAAAAAAACAACAACACGCATAAGCAAAAAGCGGTGAGAAAAACACAGTGAAAATAACACTTATTTTCAAGGACAACTCTGACAACAAGACCGAAAACGTTCCATTGCATTAAATAAAAACATTTATATTCAACAATGGAGTAGGAGACAAAAGGCAAAATAAGTTTTGAGCCGCAATTTAACCACAGTCTATCTTAACTTTTAGTATATCATTGAAATGCTTAGAGTAAATTCTTTAACAGTGTTGACAAGTAATCACAGTGTACTGTCAGATCGAGAAAGTGCCAATGACAGAATTGTCTGCCACATCCCCTCCCCCCCATTAAAAAGAACAAAAAAATAAACCAAAGCTCACATGAACGCTGAGAGAAAGGCCCCCAAATAAACACCAGCATGCATACCTGCGCATTCAGTCCCACTCCTACTTACCATTTCGGCTGTTGAGCTTGACTGTGTTGGAGGACAGCTGGACAGAGACACCACCCTTACTGCTCTGTGGGAATCTGAAATCCTGCACCTGACCATCCGTACTGAGCACGTAAACATCCAGGACTGGATTTTGCATGAACCGATAATTCATGAAGAAGAAGAAGAAGAGGACAGCATTGGGCATTATTGAAAGTTCAGTCATTAGCATTTCTGAAAAACTGTAAATGACATAATATTAGACCTAAATACTTGGGGGAATAAAAGAATAAATATTCTTTTGTGGATGTTTTCATGTTTAAATCTTAAAAGTGAAGGGGTTTCCATTTCGAAATCTTAGTGTGATGTTATGTACATCATTCTGAGTAACCAAAATGAGATGAAGCATCATCAGGTAACATGTAACTGATAAAACACATGTCAGGGTGGTGATCTGTTTGTGTTGTGCAAATGTATTTTTAAATACTGGCAAGTTTAACACACACGTGTGCACACACACATGCACACAAATTATATATATACACATATACACACATACAGTGCATACAATATATAACATTTAGTGTATATTTACTGTATAATATATCATAAATAAATTGTATAAAATATATAATCATTCTTGCCCCCACAGGACTGATGGTTGATAGCCCCATATGTAACAGCTCTTTCAAGAACTGACTCCTCTGAATGCCCTTTTCATGGCTAAACTCAACTCTTTTCTGATGCGTGAAATTACCTGGGTCAAAAGGTAACCATTTATCAGCAAATTCACCACCATCTAACTCAAAACTGGCATCCTTCACTTCTGATGATATCTATCACGGATACTGCTGCTTCCCAAACATAACGGCCTAAGTGACCCATGTCCGCCCCCCCCCCCCCGTCCGTCCCCCTGCACCCCCCCCAAGGAATCAGTAGCTGAACAACAGAAGGTTTATGAAGTAATTTTTACTATTAATTATAATGTAATTAATTTTTCAGTCTCGCTATACTGTAACAGTTGATAAACAATAAAATGAATGTTCAAAAAAGTAGCTACAGTAAAATGACAGACAATAATTCCCAGACAAGCTTGCAGTCAGTTTACTGGGAGCGAGTCACTTACTTATGTTTTCTGCAGGTACTTTCACTATGGCCGGTTCCATGAGATTGTCAGCCAGGACGAAGGCTCCCTCCTCCAGAGTATCGAGTAACATGGTTGCAGCATGCGTCTGCTCCGTAGAGTTCATATCCTGCCAGGATTTCAGTGCTTCGGGTCTCAGCAGGTTGTCAACTGTATCCACAATTGCCTGTGGCCACCAAAGCAGGAGCCTGGTCAGCACTTTAGTCAACATAACCAGTGACAGAATATCTGCAGTGGAAGACCAGCAGCATCCGAACCAGTGGTGTGAAAGGAAACTCAGGACAAATCAAAATGAAAGGACAGACACATACTGATGCCTAGCTTTGTAAATCTGGGGGAGGGGTCGATTATGTCCAGACATGGGGATTTCATACTTTTCCCTTAATTTATAACTTTTCAGATTAAACTAATACAGTTGAAGTTGAAAGCTAAATTGCATTTAATGTGTTGACACCTAGAGTTTTTACATATCATTATTACAAAATTAAATCTGCATGTATATCACTTTCTAATGTTTCCTGTACAGTTAAAATAAATATTTGGTGGAAGAGAGAATCTGCATATATTTGTCATTAGACTTGTTTGGCTTCTTATCTTAGCACCAGTAAATATAGCAATTTGATGATACAATGTTGAAATCACTTTAAAAAATAAATCAATGAAGCTAATCAGACAATCAATGGGTATATGGCTCTTCCGCTAATGCAGAGATAATGTAGCCTCGCATCAAATATGTCAGCTACTGCTGATTCTGCACTTTCACACAAGTTCCATCACTGTGGTCATAATGTGTCATTAGGCAGACAAATATTACCTTATCTATCAACTGTGCAAAGCCTACATAGCATGGAAAACATCTGCATTTAAAGTACAAATGGACCAAAAATACATTACTGATCAAAAACAAACAGAAAAGAAAAGCAAAAAATAAACCAGGGATTAATTCACTTAATCTATTTTCACATCTGCTCACTATTTGAATTTAACCTTTCTTGACCTTGCAGTTGAAGACGTTTCATTGTCTTCATCCAGTTAAAAATAGCCAAATGCTTAGAAAAAAGAGTCGGAGATATCAGGGAAACAGCCTTATTAGTCACCGAGAAATGCACAACTTTGTTTCTAATTTATGAAACAAATGAAAATCTGCATTCCGTTAAATGACTGTTCTTAGATTGTAAGGGGTTCAGGACGTGGAATGGAACATGCATGTTTTAACAGGGCATGAAGCAAAAAAAAGAAAAAAAAAACATACCAAGCATATGAACTTAACTTAGCCTACTAAGCATCATATATGGAAATGCAATACAAACGTGCCAATTAATAAAATATAAAACTTGTGAAAAAAAATTCACCGCCCCTATATATACCAATCTATAAAAAGTGACTATTCCATAAGCCTTGCCGGCATAAGTGGCAGGAAGATGGATGAATGGAAGGATGGATAATAGTGATTAAGGTTGCAAAAAATCATAGGATATCAGCCAGAAACTGCTTCAACCCTTTGAGCTCTAGGTCCCTTAAATAATTTCTGAGCATCATCAACGGGAGGCTCCCTTTCCCTATAATCATCCCATTAGAAATTCCTTCTGTATCTGATGCAAAGGCTTGCAAACCATAATGTTAAACAATACAGGGTTCAGAAGACACTCAGAAATACACATTATGTCGTATGAACTAATAGATTTTTTAAAGGATAACAGGGTACACAAGAGGACAAAAAAAAAACCAAATTAAATACAAATGTCCTTTAACGGCGGGGGATAAAAAAAAAAATCATACAAGTGTGGCAATATTTTGCGAAGATTTTGTTATAAAAATGTTTGCAGCTGGAAGTGATTGCCAAGTCACTCTGACTGCCAGGATGGGCACAATTACTGCCGTCGGAGAGGAATTATTCATAAAAATGCATGAAGCACAAAGTGAGGGTAGGGGCAATACAAAGAGAACATGCTGCTGAGCAGGGTCAGGCAGGGGGGATCGGAAAAGCGGGTTGATACAGCGACAGAACTATACCATACCTTCATGTATGCCCTGCAAGTCCTTTCTCGTTTTTGAAGCTTTTTCATTAAAAAAATAAGAGATCAAACACAGAAGCATATGATTAACAACACACTTTACCTGGTACTGAAACCTGCCTCATGTTGAGGTCTGTTGCGTCCTATGAATTACGCATGCTTCCATTTATAGAAAGGCACGCAAAAAAATTTACTCCAGATTTAATTTTGATATAATCAAGATGTTATTATTGTTACACATATCACATATTATCCATGTTTCTAAATATGTGACAATTGTTATGCTTTTCACACAGTGCATAGCAAAATATATTTCTAGGATATTTCTTTAGTTGCATTATTGCTGTAAACTATGTTTATTTACAGGTTTAAAGGTAAATTATTATATACTTACTGATCTATTTTAAAGGCTTTATTTTAAAAATGGATGTTTAATTTCCAGTCACTGTTTTAGGGTTTGGGCTAGTCTTTACATTGACAGTATGCTGGATCCAAATTTCATTGAACACACAATGACCTGATGCACAATACAGATTATGCTAGTGTAAAACTACAAGTCACACCATGAATTCAGAGCTAAAGTTATATTTAATTAGAAGGCCTTTTATTGTATTTTTTCCGGTAAAAAAGTGCTCTATATAATCTTTATGCAACCTGGGAAAAAGAAATAGTATATAAAAGCAAAAACTATTCTTTCTATAAATGAACTGTAAAAGTTGGTTCTTCACTTAAAGACTTTCCCTGGAGCAGCATGAAAGCTCTACTAAACCTATAAAAAGTCAAGACGCCGCCTAGCTATACAAAAAATGTGAAAGACAGAGTGGCTTTGGGTAATGAAGAAGAAAAAGACCTTGTTGAAACTCCGGCCTGCAGAGTCCTTCTCGCTGGGCCTCAGCTCCTGGAGCTGGGCATCCAAGATGTCCACCAGCTGCTCCATCAGTCTCACAGATGAGCTCACGTCGCCAGCGAAGATGGGCCCCTTGGTGTGTTTGGCCAGCTCATTGGCGAGGTTTGCTGCGTTTTCCCCACTTCTGATCTGGAGCGATATACGGATATGACTAAGCGTAAGTATACGACCGCACATTCAGCTCGGTCAGGACGAGACTAGTTTAAGACTGAAGAATGTTCATTCCAACAGATGGCCAATAAAGGGCCTGAATTAATGAATTCATGAAAAAATACAGAGATCAGTCCACACACACACACGAACACACACACACACATACACACGCACATGTCTGGTATAGCTATCCTTATAGGGTCTACTCATTCACTTCTATGGGAAAAATGCTAACGCTAACTATGACAACCTTAACCCCCACCCAGCTCTAACCATAACCATAACTAACCAAACACAATACAAGAGTTTTTGCATTTTTAGTTTTTTCATAGCAGTCACTGATTTTTATAAAGTAGAGTTTTCCCTTATGGGGACCAGGAAACCGGTCCCCATAAGGGAAAAAAAAATAGATATTTATCACGTTATGGGGACATTGTGTCACCATAAGGATAGGTATACCCGCTCGCGCGCGCACACACACACACACACTCACTGGAAAATTGGCTGGGAGTAAGGGGTAGTTCACACAAACCTTTTGTGCCACTTGGTTCACCCAGTGGGATGTGCAGTTACTGAGATCAGGTCCCTTTGGGTGCCAAGCCCCCGTGGCAAGAACACACAAATAAGAAGCCGTACCTGTATAAATGAATGAACGAACAAATAAAAAAACAAGCACATACTGATTACCATGATAATATAAGGTTGATTTGCATGTTTTTATTCATTCAAACAAATTTAATTCATTTGAATGCTGGTTATAATTGGCATCATCATAACAATCTTTTTTTACAATGCTTGCTCTGTCAGTAATATACTTTGATTCAAGGCAGACATGTCCAAATAAAGTGCTGAAAAATACTACAGGCTAATATATATATATATATATATATATATATATATATATATATATATATATATATATATATAAATCTCATCTTGGATTAATGTGTCAACATTGAGTAATTAAAATATTTTCTTTAAAAAAAAAAAGAAGCAGAATCAAATTCTTTAGAAAACCAAAAGTAGAAGTAGAAGCCATGAACTAAGTAATGTGTGAAGTACCTCTGGTTCCCTTGGGGCAGGGTCTCTCTACCAGCATTCCCCTCTGCGTCTGAGGCCATAATATCTCCCTTTTCTTTGTGCTTTCACAGAACCTTTCTGGCAAGGGGAAGGAATCAATTGGTGCCACAGTTTCAGGAGCGCCTGGTGGTGATTTAGGTCCCCTGCTTCCTTCTTTCGGGCTAGACGCTGTCGTGGTGTTCTCCAAGCCTTTCTGGGGAGCCGTCGTTGTGGTCGTAGTGGTGGTGGTCTTCAGGGGCTCGAATGTGGCGGCCGTTTCCGAGAAACTTTGCACTGGAAATGATGACAAAGTAACAGTTTATTATTGTACATGTGATCATACAGGTCTTTCTTCATCACCAATGAATGAGACCCAGAGAGAGAAAGAGACAGAGAGAGAGAGAGACAGCAGCATCCTACATAACACTGGCTATTTTTTTCTAAATTACCAACAGGCTATGGAAAACTGCTGCAATGTGCAAATTTATCATTTTCCTCAAACCATATCTTATTCTAGGCAACAAGGCTGTAGCCTATAAGGAAATAATTACTTCCTGCCTGGCAGCCATCCGTATTTCAGAAATGTTGAAGTACCCCTGATTAAATCTCAACAGAGAAAGACAAGCCCTGTATGTGTTGTTTCATCATCTGAGCCTTTTCCTTGCTTGCTTTCAGCTGATGTTTACATATAAATTACAAGTATAAAACAACTATGGCAATGCCAAGAAATAAAACTGTTTGGGCTGAAGAGTGTTTATTTGATTCTAGATTATGATGCATTACAAATTCTGGAGTGTGCAGTCATTATTTTGACAACTTATTTATACTAAGCATATATGTGTCAATCATAATTCTGTCTCAGAAATGGCACACATTAAAAAGGACACATATTATGGTATTTGAGAAGAAAAACGTTATGTTTTCAGTCAGACCTGGAAATATTATTATTATTATTTTTTCTTATGTAGTAAGAAAATGTTCCCAGACTCTCTTCTGACTGGAAAACAAATTGTTTGTAGACGGGGGGGGAGTTCTGTAAATCTCCCACTTCTAACATTAAATACTTTTCTTTAGTAACAGAAATGCGGTGAGTCCTGACACCTTTTCATAACACACCCTCACACTGATGGACTACAAAGTGAAGAGGGATACATTTTATCAGTCTGCTGGATTCTGTAGTATATATACAAGACTCTCTTTAAACTCCCTGTGCTCTGCAGGTGGCTAAACCAACTACTTAAAGCAAAATCCATTTTTACAATGCATCAAGTAATGGGGTCTTTTCCAGCTATATTCTCCATAATTTCTGTGACAGGTAATCAAGAGAACAAAAATCATATTACATGTATACATGGACCACTGAGATGAGAGCAATTCTTTACCATTCTTATTATTGAAACTGACAGGCTAATATGATATTATTATTCAGCTGAGAGAAGAGTGATTAAGAAATTGGACAATATATTACTGTTAGCTCTTACAGTTGTGATGGGAATTACAGTGAATATTACTTAGAATGAGTATGCATTGCCACATTGACAAAAACAGTTATACAAGACAACCTACACTAGCCTACAATAACTTCTTAATTACTTTGTTGAAAAATTGACAATTCCGGTCCTTGGCATCCATGTCTGCAGCCTACTTTTCAGTTTAGCAGCAGAAGTACTTTAAACCAAATTCAAATGACAAAACTGCTTTTATGATTTTTGATGTGGGTTAATTGAGGCTGTGAAGTGACGAGTCATCCACCAAGTTTAAATTTAAATAATCTAGGTTTGGACACCTATTTTCCTTAAGGAGGTTTTGCACGTCCCATATCATGAGTGAATTTTGTGCATGCATCTTAGGAATACAAAGTATTTCATTATGCATATGTGCCCAGTACAACAGATAGGGACTATTTCCTCTGCTATTAGTCTGCTCCACTGTTAGTCTGAAACAAGCATTTAATCTCATTACTTTCTGACATTGAAAACCATGAGGAATTGAAGGCAGTGAAATGCACTCTTATGTACAACAACCCTCACAAACGACAGAACGTCTATATGAACATGAGGTGATGAGTTGACTCTAAGCACCATCAAATACGCATTGGCCAATATCCATCAGAAATTTTCATTTTTTGTTTGAAACACAGCACCCTGTAGAAACATGTTGCCCCAATTAATGTCCTTCTCACATTCCGTCTAAATGGGGAACATCAAGTCATTGCCACAGAATGAGAAAAAAAAAAAATCATTCACCATTTACAACAGGCATATTCATAACCACATTCAGAACTAACACAGAGTGCCCATTGTACACAACAGGTTTAGACTGGGGTTTAGGGAAGTAATATTTTATTTGCTTCAACTGTTGGTTCAGCTATATCTGAACAAATTGAAATTAACTTTGTATAATATCTGTATCATTTATTTAAACAAAATCTGTATTAAATACTCTTCAGCAGATTCCTATGTTTGCTGTGACCAAGTTTTAAGAAACCTTGAGAATCAATTCAATGACAGAGAACATTCCTTGGCTGAGCTGAAGTAATTCTTTAAATGAGCCTTTTATCATTTTTGAAATACATGTCCCAGATGGTAATTACCTATTAATGGAAAAGTAATAGCTAACAAAATAACCTGATAGCAATGTAAACAATTAAACCCCTGTTCTGTGGATCAGAATGGAGCCAAGCGGAGTCATTGTGGGATAGCCAAAGAAAGCAAGCAGAGAAACAAATTAATCTGCCATCTGCTTCAGAACCAATTCATTGTTAAAAATAAACAAACAAATAAATAAATAAATGAAAACGGTAACCCTTCAGAACATCATGAAATGTAACCAATATGTTTTAAAAGCCAATAAGTCACAGTGTTTGTTCACATACAGTATGCTAGTACACACACACACACGCACGCACACACACACACGCACACACACATAAAATAACAAGATAATAATACTTATATAAAAGTTATTATGTAAACCTACAACTCATGGTCCCTGCCTTACACCAGGAAGGTCATTTGTGGCATAATGTACCAAAAAGAGGGGATTAAGTTGTTGTGCTTGTGTTTCTATGTCAGTATTCGTGATCCAACAACCAACTGCTATTAAGGATTTTTTTTTTTATATTAAGCTAAATAGTTTTATCAGAATTTTAGGGTTATGATAGCTATATTACACCTTAACTCATCGTAATTAGCATATTATTTCAGTTATTGTATTTGTGTTGTAAGACAGCGATGTTGGATCAATATCTATAACACTGAATAACAAAAAATAAGGCTGCATCAACTGCATACACATGCACTGGAACAATGTCTATGAAACTTCAAGGAGTGACCATTGGGAGATTACTCCAATCATAAAACCAGGGGAAGTAATTAATTCCTTCACTACTCGCACAGATGAGAGGAAGCACAGGTCAGTTTGTGGAATCTGGTGTGAAACAGTAACCGGGGGAGCAAACAGGAGCCTGTGGAGGCTGCCTGTATCCTGAAGTCTGTTTTGATAAGACGCCAGAAAGGGATCTCCGCCAGTGTGCCAGCACTCATCCATGGGGACAGTCAGCGATGACTGCTGAGAACAATGACGACTCCTATCGACATGTGCTGTGACACAAACCCAGATACATGTACACACCAGAGAGCGAAGAAAGAAAGGGATAGTAGGGAAAAAAAACAATGGTGATTTTCCACATCAGTACATTCTTTTTACATTGTGCGTGCTTGGATGCTCCCCGCATTCACATAAAACAAACAGCATTATCTTTAACATTTTCCACAAGACCTTGATCTTTGATCTGAAATAACTTGGGGCATGTACGACAGTCATTTACAATTCCAATTTAGACCACCGACAGTTTTATCGTACAAACTCATTCCAGCACCTGTCTCTCATGTTTGCACTTGCACTGCTGCTGAACTGTTAAAACATTTTAAAAACAGACGTTTATTAGCATTGGTGGTTGCTAATTGCCACTCTCAGAGGTAGATTGGTTAAACAGTAAAAGGTGCAAATTTAAGGTGCAACTGCACGTTTTATTCTTGCACAAAAATCAAAATGTTTACAGAGTGTTAAGTTAATTTGCTAAATCACCTAAAACACTACACGGTAGAACAGGTGCAGCCCAAGGTTAGTTTAAAATTGATGCTATTGTCAAAAATTATTTTTTTGCTTGATAAATTGTACATTCTATCAGACATTTACTAATTTTGTATCAGGAATCACAAATGTTTATGCCTATATCAACAAACTCATCATGAAATAAACCTCATCTATGCTTGGAATTAAGGCCATGCAGACAATAGCTCTCATTGAAAAAGTAATCAACAGCTACAAGCCAGTGTAAGTAATCAATAACAGCAAACGTGGTGTGGTAGTTAATGACAAAGGCTTGTTACACGAAAGCTGTCTGTTCAAGTTCCACTAAAATGCCTTTGTTGTACCTTTGAAAATCACTCAACCCCAGCTGGATACATTAATTATATTGCATGTAAAATCAAATGTGGCACAGTGGCTCAATTGGTAACTCATACATCTAGGGTTGTGGGATTGATTGTGCATGCCTTCCCCATGTTAAGCCTCAAACATCTAAGGTTGTGGGATTGATTGTGCATGCCTTCCCATGTTTGAATGAGTTTCTTTCCAAAACTGTTCATCCACATTGCCTACAATGTGTGAGAGTGTGTGCCCTTCCCTGTGACCTGTGCTTTGTGGTACATATCCACTGCAATTGAATGTATATTAAACAATTTAAACAGTGACTAGATCCAGTTTTCAGTCTAAAATGGAATGATTTAGAGGTCAAAATGTAACTACATTGCTATCTTGATAGTTGATAATGGACATCCTGTGCCACACATTGCATCTTAAAGTCAGAAATGTTTTCAGATAAGACTGTTATTGGAAAACAGATATAGATAACATTTCTTTAACCTGTATTTTAAGGCATTTTAAGACATTAAAATTACTTGTTCCCATTCTCTGAACAATACAAAATGTTATTAACTAAAAGAAATGTTGAGAATCCTGGTTAGTTTTGCTACAAAAAAATGTATCTTAATAACTGGCATTTAATAGGAAAAAGCAATTGGATTTCACATCTTCCCACTGACCTCAATTCTAACTACTTTTACCATATGAATTTTATTAATATTAATATTAATTTGCCCCAGAGATCATTGCACAACTCTATTTTGTTCAGCTACAAAGGAATTATGGTTCTATCTTGCTCTGAGGCTAAACTACTTGAACTCAAGCAGACGCTTCAGGTCTGATAATATTGCAGGTAGGAAATGAGCAGCTCTGAACTGTGATAACTTGTGCAAAGCTCCTTGACCACCAGGATCATCAGAAGCGACATCATGTGATGCATCATGTAGAACCTAAAGTAGGGATTACTGTAGCTGTGGATATTAAACCCCCAATATGAAGATACTAAGTTTCATGTTAAGGTCATTTAATTTCAGTTCTTGACAGTCAAATTAAAAGCTTCCTTCTCTACATAACCTTCTTGACTGATCTAATTTCTTGGTACCGATGGCCTCTTCTTCTTTAGGGTATGCTTCATGCCACCGATCACACATTAATGGTGTGTTTAAGGGAGTTCATACACTGGACCTGTGAGAGTGATCTTTTGTAGCCCCTGTATTCAGACAGGTAGCATTCAGCTGATGATGGAACCTCTTTTCTCATTCAGAGTGGAGTTCATAACATGGGCTCACAGGCATTAGCGCAGGGAACGTGGGAGCCGGCAGCCCTGTAAATCTGCTGAAATCCTCAGCCGGTGATCCCTTATGATATGCTAACTCACATAATGATTTTGTTTACTGCCAGGATATGTGCTGCTTTACTTTGAGATACTTCACATACTCAAGAAAAAAAAAAAAAGCTTTAGTTCAATATCTAATGCCTATTAAGATTATAAATTAAAGATCAGTCATCCGTAACAGCTGCTATACGCTGAACAACATCAATGGAATATGAACAATAAACTGTACTGCACATTGCCCTGTAATAATGTAAGAAAACAACAACAAAAGAAAATATTGCTTACCTTGAGCAGGATCAGGTGGTCCAAACTCCAGATTATACCTTAATATGTAAAAGTTATTCCATACATAAAGCTGGTTGTCTCTTGGATTGTATTCCACAGCTGCAATGTACTGGTACTGATTTGGAAACTGAATATCCACAAATTCCCCACGGTTTTGTTTGGTGTTGTAGATGTAATCTATCACACTTCTGCTGATTTCACTCTCGTTTTCTTCATACGTGGATCTTACCACGTACAGCACTCCACAAATCATGAAGGCATTGGAGGCAGACCGCTTGTCATAAACTGTCTCCCAGGTTGCCTCGAATCGCAGGGTATAAGGGTTCAACTGACTGATCACAATCATCCCATTGTTTTGCTCAGTGGCATAAATGACCCACAGGCCGTTCTCATCCACAGCCAGGTCGATGTCCGTCTTTCCGCCCCACTTGTACGGTGAGGTGTCGTGGTAGTTGGCGTTATTGATGATGGCCTCTCCACTTTTAATCCTAGTCCTAAGATCAAACTTGACAATATTTCGGGTCCTTTCCTTGTTAAAAAACACTGCGCCATCGTACACTACAAATCCAGTGCCATCCACGCGGTGAGGGAGCTTGTATGTGATAGTCTGACGCGTGTTTTGGAAGTCCTCGAGTGAGGAATACTCAATGAGAGTATCAGTGCGGTAAGGTGTCCAGGGCATGAAATAGATTTTGTCGCCTGCTTGGAGAGGGTCTTTGCACCATGCACCTGCCTGCTGTTCCGCTTCATAGAGAAAGGAAGCATCGCCGACTGCTTTAAGGGTCCCAGGGCAAACAAAAACTAGCAATGGGGAAGAGTAACAAAACAAAACAAACAGGTAATAAACAAACAGACCAAATGTAAAGTGACAAAACACCTCTCACAAAGAAGACAGATTACAGAGCACAAACTACTTTTTACATTGTCTTGGTAAATGGGTTGTCCAGGCAACGTGGTGATCAGACACACATTTGTGGTTACGACTTAAAAAAACAAAAACAATAAAATAACATAAAAAGGGCATTTTCAAGCAAAAAGGGAAATTGGTTTTGTGTGTACTCAAAATAGGTAAATGAATAAAAAAATATTTTAAAAGTATAGCTTGAACAAACTATGATATTGAGTAAGTCTTTCATCGTTTAAAAGACAGAGACACTGCTTCGTAGACAAACAGTGTAAATTGAAACAAAGGGATAGGAAGGGCAAGACAGGAAGAAAATATATCCTGTAAATGAAAGCAATAAACTAACGTGGAAGCAGGAATCAGCGTGTCTGTGAATAAGTATCCAGTGACACTTGGTTTCACCACTTTTATCTAGGATCTCAGAGACTTCGTGTTACTGGTGGTGCAAATGTCACATCTATTAAAATCGAAATGAATAAAGAACTCTAAGTTAATTTCGTTTGGGGAGTAAGAAAACCAAAAAAACGGGTGGAAAGAACAGTGAGCGGTGGAATCGGGAGGGAGGGAGAGGGCAGAGAGAGAGAGAGAGAATACTGTAGAAGTCATAAGTTTAAAAGGCTAAGAATCCCTGTTACCATGGCATGCTATGGAGAGGGTTTGGGAAGCCAGTCAAATGAGATTGGGCTCTCAGAAAAGGCACCTGGGGGCTTGGAGGGAGAGCACTAAGCAGCCTGGACACTACGGCCCACTAACATCCTTAAGCTGCGAGTATCAGTTTTTTAATAAAAACGGCTTCCGTCTTTACAGTTTACTGACCTTAACGGTAATGAGGAGATTTTTCTATTGCCTGCTGGGATCAGAACACTGGAGTAGGGATACGAAGGTTTACAACCATATGCCACAAAAAACAAGGAGCTTAGGGTTTGGGTTGTGTCAGTTATTTACCTTTTTGCTCCACTTCTATTTTAAGCGTTGGAAGAGAGAATGAAAAGGGTGCAAGGAAAAAAAGAGATCAATATGAATTAACTCTATGGTCACATAGGCAGTAGCACAGGTTATGAGACAAGGACATAAAGAACACCTATTCTGGAAGAAAGAAAGATAGAAACATGAGAAATACCAGGAAAAGCCTGAAGAAATGAACAAGTTAGAAAAAACGACGGAAGGGTGTAAATGGACAATGCTGTGTCATTTTAACAAGGCTAAATTTTACTGTTAGCAGAGCTAACAGTCAATCTATTGGTAATCTATTTGGCTATCTCAGTTTGATAATCATTGGTTTATGCTGGTTCAAGATGGATCCAATCATTTAACGGGTGTTATTTGCCTAAGAAAAGGCCTTTATTTCCCTAAGAAAAACACATTGTCCCTTTATGACCCTTGTTATTATTATTATGAAGCATAAAAACACATTACTGGTATTCATGCTGGAAAAGCAGACAGGAAATGTGCTTGTTTCAATACTGTTGTTGTATGTCATACAAAGGAAATTGTCAAATTTGTGATTTTTCGCCATAAACCAAAACATACACCCAGTGGCCACTTTATTAGGTACGCCTAGCTAGTACCATGAAGGACCCAGTCTTGTGGTTCTTCAGTGTTGTGTGCCCATTCTGCACATCCCTGTTATACTGAGCTGTTATTTTTGCACTGGTGGCCTTCCTGTTAGCTTTAACAAGTCTGCCCATTCTCCTCTGACCTCACTCATTAACAAGGTGTTTTCGGCCACAGAACTGACCTCGGCTGGACGTTCTCTGTTCATCACACCATTCTGTAGTGTGAAAATCCCAGGTGGGTGGATGTTTCTTTTGGTGCATAGCACCGAAAGTCATATAACGTTCAAAATGGAAGAGCCCGGTCGTTCTAACGCTTAGCTACACAGCAAGTGAACATCTTGACCCTGCCTGCTGTATGCATTCAGTCACAGCCACACGACTCGCTGCAAGAAGGAACAGGCTGTTAGCAAGCAGGTGTACATAATAAACTAGTCACTGAGTGTAACTGTATGCACACAAGTCACCTAACTCAAAGACTAAAATTAGCCATAATATGGTGAGGTCTGGTCTGGTAATAAAGCATCGAATCCCGTTACGAAACAGCAATGCACTGAGTCAGTGCTGCTGACTTAGAGTTATTGCATTGTGCCTTTATTATTTAGCGCTAAGCATGCATGCCCAACAGTATAACATGATGTGCAATGAAAAAAAAAAAGTAGCAATGCAATGCAATTCCTTACGTCCTTCACTGAACATTATCTATCTTTTCCTCCTTTTGAGAGGGCAGGTAATTAGTCTAAGTGACTTCTAAGTCACAGGAGGGGTGTTATTAGTAGCAGAAAAATAATGCTCTGACCTACAAGTGGAGCAGTTCACACATATTATATTTCTTGATTGTTAACATGCACTGCATCATTCAGTTCAGTATTTTGAACAAATGTGAGGCTGCAGAAAATGTTAGACAGTCTGTAGCTTTAATATTGATTGTAAATTTTGTAAATCTATCCAAAAATAAGAAAAACTAATTCTTTAAAATTAAAATGCTTATTAATACACAAAAAAATTGTCCATCAACATCCAGTTTGATTATCAGTGGGTTAATTATAAAGAAAGAAATATATTTTGATCAAAGAAAACAATAAGGACTTCTCTGAATAATTAATCTTACAGTATTCTTCTGGTAAAACGAACATAATGCATTGCCCAGCCAAATCTCCTGTTTAACACTTTGACCTCTGGTCTTGTTTTAAATTTATCTTAATGTAAACGACTACATACAGAAAAAGATAAAAAGCAGTATGCAGTTTTATGATACGTATTTGTCTCATGCTTAGGCTTTATAAATATTCCAGGTTACACTATAGCAAGTAACAAACCACAGAGAACATTCATGTTTTTGATGAATCAGTCTTGCATTCAACACAGGGAATCTGTCAGGAGCAGTTCTTGCACAATAACACTATGAAAGTGTTGTAGTTGACTTGAATGAAAATAATGTAAGATTCACAAAATCATAAACTGTCGAAGATCTTACATATCACTTATGCGTAAATTTCTGCCTTGTGAAGTAATAATAATAGAGTTGGAAAGCTCAGGTCCAGAAAGCACAAATCCAGACCAAGATTTCAACCAACCAGTTAAGTACTCTGTGCATCTGACTCTTTATGCTCAACTGGGTGGATGAAGCAAAATCTTGGTTGGGATTTGTACTTTCTGGACCTGAACTTTCCACCTCTGATAATAATAATAATAATAATAATAATAATAATAATAATAATAATAATAATAATAATATCCATCTGTCAACTGCACAGCACAGAAGGCTGGGGTGTACCCCACACAGGATGTCTGTCCATTGCAGGGCGAACACACTGTGGCTGATTCAGAGAGTTTCTTAGCCTAACTGCATGCCTTTGGACTATGGGAGGGAGTCATACTACCCACATAAGATGGGGATAACAGACGCAGAGCTGGCATTCAAACTCCTGACCCTCGAAGGGGGGAGATGAGAGTGCTAGCTACTGAACCACGGTGACACCCCAAACAAAGAAATGTAACAGTTTATATGCTGCTACAGTATTATTTGTTTAGTAAAACAAATAAGGTCGTATAACACAGTACAATTTGTCATGTTATCTATTTTTAGCAATCAGCCCGTTTAGCTCCTATGTTTACCTGGTAAATCAAAGTGAATGCATTTTCTTTTCCTTAGGTTATTATTATTATGATTATTATTATTATTATTATTATTATTATTTTATTATTCACACCCAAAGAATGCCCTTGTTTGCAACTGTGCCATATTAAATGGCAATAATCACCTCCGGTGGGAGACATATTTATGGGTTAGCTGCATTCTCGTAGCCTAAGAAATCAAACATAGAAGGAAATACATTAACACACAGCAGATTTTACAACAGCAAAAAAAAGACGGCAAGAAAAAGGAATGATAGAAATCTGGAAAGGAGGGCAAGTGAGACGTTTAACCTGAGATGATGTTAGTTCAAGTTTTCAGAAAGAAAAGAGCATAGAAATCAGGGCAAGATGGAAATTCCTGTAGATTGTACAAGGAAAGAAAAGAGTCAAAAAGGCATTCAGAACAGATGAGACCCTTGATTTTTGCAATCCCAAATCAGTGTCGAACCATAAATGCTACATGTCATTTAGCTCAGATATATCGTATACTATTCTATCAATACGTGACCCTTGTAACTAAACATGTTTTGCGTCAACATTTAAACGTGCAATAAGTATGGACACAGTAAAATCAATATATCCTGTTGCCAATTAAATATGGCATTATTAGTCATTATTTGAAATGTACGCTGAGTGTAATCTATGGAAACACCTGCTTGTAAATGTGCAGTACTGCTCTAGTTTTGCTCAGCATTTATTATGCAAATATTTTGCTTGGTGATGGCAGTGGTCCCTGGCCCTGCAGGCAGCATGCTCCTTGGACAAGACTGAGGTGCTACCAGGCTGCTTTCAATCAGCGGCACCCTTTACAAGTACTCTGTTGTTTTCTCAGTAATAGACAGCTGGGCAGCAATTCAGTTGGTCGATAATGCCAATTAGTCAACCATGCCTGTTTAATGTGCTAAAAAAAATGGCAAATGCCATTTCTAATTTCCCCGTGGCATGCCTTACAGAAGCTGGGTATTGCGATGTATGATATCAAAGAAAAATGATGCCACTTGATTTGCAAACTTTTTTACAATTGTTAAAAAATGATACAACTGTAAAATAGTGTCTTACCATTACCTGGAGAAGCACAGAATTATCCAGAGAAACACATTTATGAAGCATATTATAAGGCAATTAAAGTAATACATTCAATATACAGGTAATCCTGTTAGAATTCAGGTAAGATAAAATCCCCTGATTCCCAGGTATTGGCTCATTGATGTATCAGTCTGTATAACAAGAATGCCTCCCAATTTGAGTAAGATTAGAGTAAGAGGCAGAAAAAACAACAATTATATAGACAAATACAGTATGGGCAAGACACTTAAAATAACAGGGGCAATGTAGTTGACATGAGTAATTTATGCATCGCTCTTCGTGAACATCAAATTTAAACATGAATGTGCTTTAAAGACTACTCATTATACCCTTATCTGGGGACAACATAATATTTGCATTAGTCTTCTTGGAAGAAGTTATCTGTCAGCTGAAAGTTTTTTTTTTTATTTTTTAATTTTGCATCACCTCAACTCCTGCCTCTAAGTCGTCTGAGACCTTCATACCATCATGTGCATGTCCCTCCCCGATTAAATGTATATAACATAATTTACTACCATCAGGCTTAGGGGTTTTTTGCTTAAATTAGGATACTGGACCTTAACTAAAATGTACCGAAAAAGGTATAACCTAGGGAAGTTCAGTCATCGTTAGTCTGTGGTTCCAATCAAGCATTTTTCTGAGTACATGGAGGGTATTTGGAAGCAAATGGATACCCGGCACTCCAAGTGATCCAAGTATCGTAATGGAAACTTTTTCCATTTTTCTCATAATAGTAGGTTGTTGAGCTGCAGAAGTGCAATAGCTGTCAAACTGTAAAAGCCAAGCTTCAAAATACACATTGCCGAGTGCCATTTATCATGTAGCTATAAAGCAATCTGCTTCTTAATCTCACTTGAAGAATGATGGTTATTGTTGAACAAAGATTTATGTAGTTTTATGTTTGTTAAACTTCTCTTTTTCCACCTGGTACATGGCTCTCATGCCACAGACCTATATGTTGCCAATACAGATGCAGTTGTATCTGTGGCATCTTTCTAATACTCTTCTAGGAGTTTAGTGAAGTTTTTCAAGAGAAACAGTATACTGTATATAAGTGGCTCTGAAACTCTCATAGGTGATGGAATGTACTTCTACACTGAACTTGACTCTCATAAGCTCATTCTGCCATTTCTGTCTGACTCTCATATGTTCCATATGCATGACACAGCTTCAAAATTTCTCTCGAGGTGCTGAGTTTAGTACTGATTTCTGTTAAATCACTGACAGTATCTTACAGTGGAGGAAAGATGATGCCAAATATTAATGTCATGGACAGACGGAAGAAATGTTTATAATGGTAAATATGAAACTCATTATGCCTGTGTAATATCAAACCAGGTTTTAGATGAGCCTACACCAAATAAATATTGTTGTCCTGGCAACGCGAACCTAACAGACTTCATTTTAACACATGATTGATTGATGTTAGAACCAGTAAACCTCCATATGGGCATATAAAATGCATTACAGATTAAAAAGAAGTTACACTGTTATCCATATATACTGTAATGGAAAAAATGTAAGTATGTATATATATATTTACCTATATATATATATTATATATGTGTATATATCTCCTATATATATTTCCAATATAAGAATCAGCATCCTAGTATAGGTACAGGTGTATCTAATCCCAAAATTACTTTATTGAACACTTTATGCTATTTAATATTTAAATAATTTAGAATGTCACCATGAGTATGTGAAAACTTGTTTTGATATTTATAATACTGCACCAATTATTTGTAATACTTTGATGTAAAAGTTAGCTAAATGTCAAACGCTATATTAAAGCATTTTAACATTTTTGTTGGCCTTAAGTAGAATTTTCTTCTCCATTAATAATGGGCATATAATTAACATCAAAATAATATATAATATCTAATTTGGAGTAAAAAGTTCATTTTGTTCTGTAATTGATTATTTTCGCAAGGTATTAACAAATTTCTAACAGCTATGGTTTTCTTGTGACCCCAGAAAGCCTGACTTTGTGACAAACTTGCATTGCACCTGGTTAACTCTCCTCCAATATCATCTATTTATGAACAAAATTTGAAGCCTGATCTTTTGTTCTTCCGTTATATAGATTCCCCCTTCTGCCTCCTGCTTAAAGCCATCTGGCCCTCAGCTAACAAATCAACTGCTCCCAGCCAAATGGCTTGCGACAGCATCTAGACAAAGTATCCACATGTTAGCAAGATCCAGTGTCTAGTGTGCTATCATCTGCGTCTCAGTCCCCTGCCTCAAGGTGTGGGGTCACCTGATTATGATTACTCACTCCAACTGATGGAGTAATGCATGATTCATTAATTTCATAGATTTTTTACAATAGCCCTTTTCTCGGCATTTTCCAGGTATCACTTTCTTTGAAGTGGTAAGGAGATTAGCTAGTTTTTGCCAATATTAACATTTAGGATTAGGGATATTTTTCTGCTTGTTTAAGGAAATTGTAAATGCACTGCAGATTATTTTGAATTTCACTGTTCCAGTTTACTATAGTTGAGTTGTATTTTTATTACTACTACTTTTTTATTACATTATTAAATTGGGTCATTTTTATTTGAAAATACAACAGCACAGTCAACATGTCTACATGTAAAACAATTACCCCAGGATACTGAGAATCACTAGTCTTATCATCCACAAATAAATAAATAGCAAATATTGAATGAAGGTCTGTACTTACTATAGGGTACACATTCATACTGGACCTCTAGGTATTTGTAGGTCCCTGGACAGGGATCGGGGAAGACATCTGACCCAGTAATCACAACACACTGGGTCCGATTGTTACACCTGAAAAAAAGGGGCATAAAAGAATGCTTAGTCTCCACCATGGGTGTCGCCGCCATTAAATCTGAGGGGGACGTGTCCCCCTCACATTCCTTAATTATTCGTTTGGACCCCCCCCCTTCAATTAACATAAAATATTAGTTTTATGCCAGTGTGTCTCTCCCCCACATTCAAAATGCTTCTGATGCCCCTGGTCTCCACCCTTGACTCTTTAATTTGAAGAGTTAACAAATCTTTGGAATATTTATGGGCTTCTTCATCCCTCATCCATCTTCCTAAAATCAAGGTGAGGTGGCACAGAGTATTAATAGTAGGGATACCAGAAAACAAAAAGCAACAAAACAGTAAACATAAAATCCGGTACCCATAATGTTGATAGGAGAATAACAATATTAATCTGAACATCTTCAAAGTGGATACTGGATTTGTGAGAATTAACTGCAACAGCAAACCCTTGTTTTACTGGTATCGAAAGGATAGAGTGACATTTTATCGGTAGTATTTTCTTTAAAAGTCAGAGAAATGATATCAAACTATGGCAGCTGGTCTGAAATGAATTCTGGCTGTTTTAACAATGTTTTTTGAAAAAAAAAAAATCTGATTACGCTTGATTAAGGTTTCGGTTTTCAAAATCAAAAGGTATGGCGTGCAGTTACACTGAGGTTTTTGAGGTAATGTTCATTACAGGAGACAGTATTTTTTCTGAGCGGACAAAGTTACAAGGATGCAGCTCTGTAATACTATTTCTAAATAAAACCAAACAAAAATCCCTATCAAGTTAGGCTTACTTCTAGGCCTATTTGCAAAGAAAATGTCACAGATAGAGGAATGGCATTTGTGCAGCTTTTTCTTCTAGAATCAGGAGGTAGCATTCCATCATAAATACCCACAGAGTGGTGCCATAGCCTTGCTCGACTAATCAATATGCCACCATGTAATATTGTTCACATTCATTCACTGTAGGGTCAAATATGCTTCAGCTACACTCAGAACGTGTCCTGATCTATCCGAAAAAGTAGGCAGCTCTCCCTTTTAACAGTTCTTTCCTGTCTCCATAATCAGCAGTGCACAGTGCTTCTAATCAATAGCTCTGTTCTGCTGATTAAGCAGAGGCTAGAAAATATATTTCTTTTTGTCATGCACCAAAGTGTTTCTTCAACAGATCATTGAAAATGTAATCATGGAGGTTTATCACATTTGTTTCCTCCTTATCCTCCTCTATACCATTCATTCATTCCAAGAAGAATAATGTTGAACACTTGGGTCCAGTGAAATGTATGGGAATTACTTTTTTTTAAGAGAATGATGTTTCTAAATCACCATTTTTACATTAATTAAAAAAAATGTTTTTATCAGCATTACAAGATCGCAGTACTAAATTAAGTGACCTAGAAAGCCTTTGCATTAAAATGAAGAAATTTAGCCTAGATGAATGTGGGTCTTGACCAGTAACCAACAGACATTTCCAGTCCTCTTATTTAAAACCTGCACTGTATGACAGTGGACAGCTTCTTCAATCTATCAAATGAGCAAGCCAAAAATTAAATGAAAAATAGAGTCACAACAATTTCAGGAATGTAACACTGAAAATGTATAATTACTAAAAATAGCTATAACGTACATTTATCTAATTCTATCTATTTCATAAGTTAAAATGGCAGCTGTGGAATTTGTAGCATTTTTCTTTCATGTCATTGTTCACTTATCCCTATATTCCTATTTAAAACTTTATGCAAAAAACAAATATATGCATTGTAATACCACCCCACACGCACACAAACACACACACACACACACACACATTTGCAATTATATCTTTGTGGGACCACATTCATTTCTATGGAAAAAAACTTTAATCTCAACAATCACAACCTTAACCCCTACCCAGCCCTAACCTTAACCATAAGTAACCAAACAAAATACAGGACTTTTGACATTTTTAGTTTTTTGATAGTAGTCAAAAAATGTTATAGATCTGAGTTTCTCCTTGGGGGACTGAAAAAATGGTCTCCACAACATTAAAATAAATTTTTTTTTCATATTGTGGGGACATTTGGTTCTCCCTATGCAATATATACATAACCCAAAATCACGCGCGCACACACACACACACACACACACACACATATGATGTATGATATAGATATTATAACCAAATTTGCAGTGTTTAATTAGTCAGTATAAATAAAAAATGTTGAAACCCTTTAGATATTGTTGCAGTTTCCTTCAGTTCATGCCCAAGACCACAGGGTCTTACGATGGTGCCAATCTGCAATGGTGCAGAGGTGGAGCAAGACAATTATAGATATTATGTAACAGATTTTGATGTTTTGATAAGTGTACAAACGCAGGTTGAAAAAATACATAGATGACTATGCTGATAAAAATGACTGATGAAGCATCATCCATCCACCGCTTATCATGTACGGGGGTCACGGTAAGACGGGAGTGTAACTCAGGAAGTACAGACCACAAGATGGGGGACCACAATGCATGGGCTGTCAGCCCATCACAGGCCCACACTCACATACCATGGGTAATATAGAGTCACCAGTTCGCGTAAATGCAGCAGGAAAACTGCAGCACCCTGAGGAAACCCGCACAGACCCCGGGAGAACCGGCAAGCTCCATACACAAATGCACAGGATCTGAATTTTCAGACCAGGATGTGTGAGGCCACATATTTATTCTAATTGTGAATAAAATGTATAATATCACTTTAGTCCTTGTACTTGTAAAGCTACATCAAAGAAAATTAAATATATGCCAGATACATCCAATGATGTTCTTCTTTATTCTTAGATTCTCTCACCATTTAATCTAGAATATTACTTACTATTAAAATAAGAATATTACATGCATTTATTAAATAATCAGTTTCTTTCCTCCATAGCACACGATGGCTTTGTGAATCCACGTGCTGGCATGGTAATCATCTGCGTAAGCTTCGACCTTCACAAGCAGTGTCTTGCCCTATTGCCGGTTTTGCTTTGTTAACATTGTTTCCTTTCTGGTTCTGCCTCCAGTGCTGTTGTTCCCTAACACCTCTTGAGCTCAGACTGCAGAAAAAAGGAAAAAAAAAAACTTCTCCGGGGCTAATGCTAAATAAAAGACTACAGCCACTAAGCACGTCTGCTTCTGTGTTTCACCAAGCAAAAGAGTAACCAAACAGTTTTTCTCTTCAGCCATTACTTAATATGGGATCCTACAATATCAGTCCTTAGAATTCCCCGTAGGGCTGACCATCGATTGGATCATCATGGTATTTTAGCTCCCAGTTTAGCACCCCAATTCACCTCAAATTCTCACCATATAAGTCCTCACTCTGTCAAATGATCCAGTTTGCACAGCATTTGTATGGTATGTGTCAGCCACTTTCCTGCATGACTGAGCTTATGTAAGATTTGACAAGTCTTATTGAGTTCCACAGAGACAGCATGTCTTCAGCGGCCCATAAATTGCTTGTCATGATAAGCCCCGTGAATGCTGTTGCACAGCTTGAGTATACAGTGTGCGTTGTCATGCATATGCCCTTGGCATCAAGTTGGTGACACACGCATAAAAGTTTAATGGTTTTGCTTGAGTAAAACCTATATTGTCATTCATATATCATATATGGTTTCGGTGCAATTTTCTCAGGTTACCTACAAGCTGATATTGAATGCGAGGGTTTAGAAGGGATTTCCATCAATTTTTTTGACGGTTGGTGCAGAGGTTGAAATGTTGGGTTTGTGCTAGATTTGGTCCTGGTTTGAGTGTGTCTGGTTCTCATGCTCACAAAGTCTGTCAATGTCTATAGGTGATTTATATAGAAGACTAAATAAATAAGACATTAATGCTTCTATCATTTCTAGCTTTGTAGTCAGGTTAAGCGCTAAAACTGGGTCATCGCAATAACACCAAGGGTACCCTGGAGTACACGGTGCCGCCGTTATAACATTATATTTTTTCAAAATAACTGCAACTTATGTAAGATTAGATCGGATAGTAACACACATCCATGAATGGTTGCAAGAAGGAAGCAGTTGTGAAATCTGATGGAGAACAATCCCCATTACACGTTACTCTGCTCATTGGGCAAAGGTCTTAACAGAGCGTTCACACCACTTCAGCTTAATAATTTGTGTCTAAACAACTGGACTAAGAAGTACCAAAAAGCAATGCATCATAAGGCTTTTTTTTGCTAAACATGGGATTTCCTCCTCCAGACAAAATACACCTCAGGTTTGACCTTAAGGGTGGACTTTTATTACATATTGGCATCATACATTGAAGGACTGCAAATTTTACATAACTAATAAAATAGAATAACAATGCATGCTTTGTATTATTGAGAAAATTTAAATGATGGTCAATTAATGATTCACACTATATGATGTTTTGGCTGGTATATAAGACACATTTAAATCAGTATTTAAGACACATTTAAATAAAAGTATTCATTATAACGTTCTACATAAAAGTAGATAAGTAAATAAAAGTATTCATTATAACGTTCTATGAGAACACTGAAGCATTTCATGCAGTTCCATATAAAGGCACCCCCATTTTGTAACAAAAAACAAATGCATAAAAATCTATTTCACCAAGTCATGCTTTCTACAAACACTTTAGCTAAAAATTTAGCTAAAAGAAATGCTATTTTCAGATTCTACACTAAGAACATGTTTTCATTGTATCAGATCATGTCGGAGAAATAAAAGACCGGATATTGATCTGGGCTGATATACAGATCTAACAGTCTAATCTGATTTTCCAGTAAGTCTCCTCACCATGAACATTTCTGACTTGACAGGTGTTGAAAAAAACATATATAAATAGTACAGAAAGATATTAAGTGATGATAGTTTTGATAACATGTGTTAAAACCACATATTTAACATCTTTGCAAATAAATACTGTTTATAATGATGGAAAATTCCTAGCCATGAAATGCACAAAAGGTTACTGAGAATTACCAAAATAGAAATAATGTACGTAATGTACATAACCAAAGAAAACTACATGCTTCCAAGTTATTCAATTGAACATATTTATATTTTACAATTGAAAGCAAATGCAAAGTAATATAATTTAAACTGGGCCTTATAATTACAAGTATAGAGGGTTATTAAACGATATCCTCAAACATTTTCCTCAGATATTTTCATGCACTTATATTCCAAAAATGCCTTGTTTATGACATTATTCTTTAGACCGCTGATTTGAAATGACAAGACGACAGGGTTAAATCCATCACAGAAGAGAATTTACATCCAGGATTGCTTATGGATGATTCATAGCCAAATATTAAAGCAAACACTCTGTGCTCAAGCCACATAGATCACATTTCGTTGAAAAATTAAAAGCAAGGCCAAGTTCAACAAACCTGTAAGACTGCTAGAAATACTCATTGTTTCCTTCCGGTTAGCCAAGTTATGCTGTGTCCTTATACCAGCGAAACCAGACGTGGAAGCTAATGATCTGCCTGAAAAAAAATCACATTCAACGCTTGCATAAGCTAACCTTAGGCAAGCATCCCTTCCCTCCTAATCACTGTCAAATGCTAAAGAAGCTAGGTTAATGCAGTTCAAACGTCGGAACAGCCATTTAAAAACTGTTAAGGGCTTGTGCTCTTAGGGGCTGAGGAGAAAAAAAAGTCTTGGCACTAAGATACCTTTCATCTTTGTCATTATTAATAACAATCCAACTTTGAGAAAATTATCCATAGTATTATACTCAGCCGGACCTCTCTAAGGCAAAATAATGTTGGCAGGTAAAACATTCTTCTTATTCACTAGCAATTCCATTCAATAGTGATTACTGATTCCCCATTTCAATTCATAATCCAGACGATATCTTTATCTTATGGTTGGTGCTCATTGATTTTCTTTTCTTTTTTTTCTTTTTTTTTTTTACTGGAGTACACTGTATAGAACAGAATATTGTCATTGCCATTGCACATGCACAATGAACGTTTATGAGCTTCATTTGTTAACAGTTAGGGTTACTGAACTGAAGTCCACTCTATGACTGGGGGCAAAAGTAATCATGACATTAAATTTTAATCAGAAGTACTTTAAATATATACAAATACATATATTCATGTGCAGTGTGAGTATATAGGTATCTGCTGTCAGGCAGCAGCAATGAAGGTCTATATAGAGCAGTGCAAGCAGTTCTGTCAATGATATAAATAGTGTAAGCAAGAAGCATTATTCAATGTTGAAAACATAAAGGACGTTTTACCTTTGCAGTGCATTTTTTAACTAAATCATCTATGGAAAAAAAGTAAAATAAACAGCGCTGTCATCAGTGTGCGCCACTGGGATGTGAACATGAATCTACCCGCAAGAAGGGTGGTATTACGGCAGGGCTGCTTTGAGACCAAAATTTTTTGTGTCTTTTTGATTAATCCATGAAAAAAAGCCCAATGCAACATATGTAGGTTATTCCCATAAAGCATAAGAAGATGCTTTCCTGTGCTCATTTGTCTGTAAAGCTTATGATGGCAAATGGAGTCGATACATCAAATCAACCCACCCCAATGCTTCCGAAGAACTGCAGTGATTCAGGCTACTGATAACAACAAATAAAAAAGACAGTTCTGGTTTTCCCTTTCAGCTTATTAAATATAGCCGTGAGCGGTAATGTTCTGGACGAAACCTTCATGGGAGAATTACCACCTTTTCAAAAGATCTTTACAACTTTCACTAATAATATCCATGGATTTCGCTAAACAAGTGAGTAATAAAACAAGTGAGTCATAAAAAAGAAAATAAATGCAAGCCTGTGTTCTTTACACATATATTGGGAGTCCTTACTTAATTTTAAAACTGCTATATAGTATATATACAGCAACCATTCATCTACAGTGATCTTGAACATTTTTGGGAAATTGTTGAAATACACCAGTTTCATTACTTTTTTTTCATTCTTTTTCTGTCGCCAGCCACATTGTTTCAGAAGCACAATATTTGTTTAGATTAGTAGGCTTTTAAAAAAGATCTACAACCAAACATTGGTTGAACATCCAAGAGGTATTGAAAAACAACACCTATACATCATACCAGCTTAGTCACCTACGGTTTCCCAGTGCTCTCAAAAATGCACATGAATAAATATAAAAAATGCCAGCGATACACACCTTAACTGGGAAGAGGTTTACGAAAAGCACACAACATATTTCTCATCATATGATGTGTAGCATCACCATGACCATCATATGCACTATATACATATAGCATGCAACTGGACCCCAGTAACACAATCCTAAAACACTTAACGTAGAAGTGAAGGCTAACTCTTCAAAACAGAAATGCCAAATATCACAACCAGGGTGGACTCCAAATGAGTAGCTAAAATGTCACTAAAATCAATAACAAAAAATTGCACAAAATTTTATAAGGACAGAGAAATATACTAAATGTCCTCTCACCAAAAAATACCAAACGCCAAGCATACAGTTGACTGCAAGAACTCCAAAAAGTACAGCCAACTAGGATGCATTCTTTCAAATATGTCAAGGTCTTATATATGTTGCAATTGTTTTGCATATGAATGAATATATTCAGTTTCCCTGTCATATCTGCAACTAAGACCAGAGATTTCTACCCGCAAAATAATTAATTTCTGTGTGCTTGTACTGTATTTAAAAATGCACATAATCCTATCAATCATTCTGCAGATTAACCCAAAGGCGACTGGAACTGGGTGCTCTCTCCAAGAGGTCGTGCTAATAAATGCTACACACAGTAGACATACATACAGAATCAAAAACAAACAAACAAGCAAGCAAACAAATAAATAAATCTTCCACATTAGCACCTGTTGTCAGCTGCTATATGTAAATTTGCCAGCGAAAACCTTGACCTAAATTAATGCACATACTGTTTCTGCCTCATATGTTTCCACCTCATATCTTTCCACAGATAACTGAAATGTAGCCTCATTGAGGTGTATCAAGTAATTCTTACCATGCATTCATAAATCAAAAAGAGCAAAGGGAGTAAAATGTGTAATGTGCCATCATCAGCACTTAGTATGCAGATCAGAAAATCATTGACCTCATTATAAACGCAGCCATCTTTGGGTTACTTGTAGTGAGTTCAAATGATCAATGCTTATCTCTTACTGAAGTCAGCTCAGGTTAGACCACTACCAATCCATTCATTCATCAAAAAAGTAGAGTCTGAAAATATAAATCAAATAATTTATATTGCATGTATTTAAAACATCGTATACATGCATCTTTGTTTAAGTACCTTTTGTTTGCTTGCCTGTTTGTAACCGTGAAATATAATACTCAGCAACACTACATGAAAATAATCAACTAACTTATAATGGGAACCGATGGGCATCCCCTGCCTTATTCCCTGTGCATTCTGGGAAAAATGTGCATTCTGGGGAAAAAACTTATGCTATCCATGTCCATTGACGTGCCCGTTTATGTATTACATTAAACATTTCTAAACTGAACAAAGGCAACAAGGAATGTTCACAAAAGCTAAGACTTCTCAGCACAGAATAAGCCACTCACCTATTTGACCTTATCAAATCAGTGTTGACAAGAACACACTGAATACATCACATGTTTCTTCTTTCTTTGTTTTTCACCAAAAGCACAAAGGTATAAAACACAAATCTTTATAAGAAGAAGAGCCTGACTATACAACTAAATAAACCTGGGCAATGTGAAACAAATGTGAACAAGTGTGAAAAACATAACTATAAGTGCAGTTCTATAGTTTACACAAATGACGGAAAACAAATGGACAAATTACAATATAAAGCTTAACCCCAAGTGCTAACACATGCACACTTTTATGCCAGTCTAATATACTCTTGAAACAAAGAGATTTTAAAAGCAGGTAACTTTTGAAATGAATAAAACCCCTAATCATTTTAACAATCGTCTTCTCTGACTTGTCAAAAACATGTGTTTTAAAGATGAATGGATAATAACATTTGGTCATTTATGAATCCTCCACATTAGGGAAAACAAATAAAAATAATATGAACTAACCCTTCTAGTCAGAATACCTCTATGTACATGCCATCGAACTATAAACACCTGAGTATGTCTATACAGAGCTGCCAACTCATTTGTGCAGAAATTCCAGACTTGGAAGTGTCAGAAAAAATGGAGCCTTTTCAATTTATTTTTCAGGACCTTTTACAACAGCATCATTATAGATAAGTGGACCTTTAAAAGTTTCACTTTTTCATATGTATGAGACTCACCATTTTTAAAAAATCCATTACTAGGTTAAAAACATTCCTGTGTGATTTCTGCAACACTCAGCATGAGTTAGTTTTCTGGACCGACTCACTGCAACAAAGCTTCTTTCTCAGTTGATATGCAGTGTGAAAACCATCTCTAAATTAACAATGAATGCTACTGTATTTCATGGTGGAACTGCATGCCAAATGGAGCGATTAGCATGCCCAGCAAACACCACACCCTGCACTTCAGTTCTGGTCTTAAATTCAAACAGGTTTTTTTTTTGTTTTTTAAAAAATATGTCATAAATGAAGAACAAGACAAGTGACCTCTCCAAGCCTCAAGAAAATTAATGTAAATAATCCTTAAAGGGAAAAAAAAAATCATAAATAAAGGCTACTTTGTGTAAAAACAATAAACGTGTGATATCCTAAATTTAAATTTGAAAATGCTTGTGAGGACTACACAGCAAATTTTAGTTTTCTTACCTTTGAGACATAATTTTGTAGGCATCTGGGAGGTAGCAGTTAATGTTTTCCATTTGAAAGGGATCAGCGTCACAGATCTTGTCATCTGTTCGGCCATAGTTGGCGCTTTCAACCATGATGACATCACTTCCTGGACATCGCAGGTCAATTGGATAACCGTCACAAGAGAGCTCTCTCCTCACCAAGCCAAATGGCAGCGCCGCACGGCTAAACCCTAAAGGGAGAGGCATGACTGTGGATCAGTAAGACAAAAATTACAGCCAAAAAAAAGAAACTTTTCTGACAGGGAGCAGAATAAGGCATGGGGAAAACTAAGATAGTATTTTGTATTAAAATACAGTCTGTAGAGAACAGGAACAATGTAGAACTGTACATATAGATCTGGTCTGAATGAGTGAAATTTCTAATGTTTTGGTCAGTTACTAGATCAATTCAGTTTTAAGTTTCTCCTTAAATCTGAACATTAAAAAGAGGTCAAAACACATTTTCAATTTTTAAAATCACGTTTTTAATCACGTTTAGCCTACAGCGGCTAAAGAATCACATTCATCAAGTGCCACAGTTTTCTGATAGTTTAAATCAGTAATAACTGGCATTTTGTACTGTTTGGAGAAGCAGTGAAGCTCTTTTGGTGACTCGAGGCAAAAAAAATAAAAATCTGAAAAATCTGGTTTAAAAAAAAGAAGGAAAAAAAACAGACATGGATTAAATTTCAAAATGAAGGAGAAAATGAGTGATCTACCCACGTTCCACTTCAAACTTTTACATGTTCATCCTTAATAGCTGCGTACACACACACACACACACACACACACACACACATATGCACACAGATCTACAATTACGGGTTATAGAATTTGAAGAATGAAAAAGTGGCAAAAACTAAATCAGTCATTGGTATCTCTTAGTTTATTTGCAATCTTTTTTTCTACCAGGAACAAAAGTAACAAAACAAGCATCTCAACAACATGAAGTGTAATTTAATCTATCTTAGCCCTGGCAATCGAACAGAGAACTGGAGGAAGGCTAACTTAAAAAAAAAGAAAAAGAAAGAAAAAGAAAGAAAAGGGAAAAAAAAAAAAATCAATACTCTAGCTTTGTGCTCTGCAAATGTGAACACTGCCAAATAGCTGTGCTTAGGGTAAAATGAACTATTTCGCTTCATTTTTTTCCTCTCTCCTCAAATGATTTTCAAAAGACAGGCTTTCATTGCAACGGTAAAATGTCAAGCTTCAAGAGAGGAGGCAGAGAAAGAGAAACAAAAGGCAAAAATAGGCCTCGTCAGTTAGAGGTACATCAGTCTTGTTGCTATATTAATACTGACTTTAATTTGGGCAGTTCCTGCACATATAGACGAGATACCTTGGGAGAAAGCACAACAATCTGTAAATTGTACACATTGCAGAGATCAACTTTTGAAAAAGAGCTCTGCTACCACATGAACTAACCACATGATCCATCAGTAATCACCATTGTTCGTAACAACTTTTTTCTTGGTTGAAGCATAGGCCATTTGTGTTTACACAGTACTATGCATCCTTAATGAGTCTCTTCACAGTCTGGTGACTTGGAAAAAAATGCCATTGCTCCATCTCATACTCTGATTTGTTTTGCGAGTTTGGCACTTAAAAACACTGCCTGATCCACATGTTCTCTCCTCGCTAATTACTTTACAATTTCTGTGGTCATGGATGATACAGTTTGAACTATTTAAAGTTTAAAATATCAGACTACAGCACCAAAAACTCCAGGCTCTGGTGCACTAGCCGATGTGTTAAGAATTATTTTTTTTTGTAGCAAGTACATTTACACTGACAAATAACAGCAGTTATAACATTTATTAAGAAAATCAAATGTTTTTAAGGCACTGCTTGCCAGTTATTTTTGTATATTGGCGAATTATATCAGAGCTATATATATATATATATATATATATATATATATATATATATATATAATTTGTTTGTTTGTTTGTTTAAGTAAACACTGCAGGATCTAATATTTTGATGTTTAATATTTATTTCATCTCAGGGTTACAATCAGGATTTTGTTTTTCATATTTAATAAGTAAAGTGTTATTGTCAAGCTTTTTTTAAATTTTATATTTGATATAAAAAATTAAATATGCTACTATCTGACAGGTTCATATACTTCATAGACCTCATTTCAGTATAATTTAATTTATATTTTCAATATTTGACAGAATTCTTTGACTGTTACAAAATTCATAACATGGCTTGGGCTGTCCAGGAGTCTTGATGTAAGGAAATGAAAATATGGCACAGAAATGCAACAAAATTTGACAGTCAATTTCATTTTAATATCAGTGCATTTCCAAACTGCCATGTCAATTGTCATGTATATATTCAATAAGAAAGAGTTATAATAAAAAGTAGCGATTTACATTGATTCTTTAAAGTTAAATATTTTGCTGGAGACATTCCCCACTGCCAAAAGTTATCATTTTGTACTTTTCCTTACAGTAAAACAGTCTAATTTTACTGTAAGAAACATTTACATAGCTGAATTTTTTTCAACCATAGTGTGACCTAGTTTTTACATTCATGCTTTTTCCAATGTCTAAGTTCCTGTGTATTTTGCATTGACCAACTGGGTTACGGTCATACATATTTGACTCGGTTACATTAGTTTCCACTGCCCTGCTTAAAAGTTAAAAAGTACCTAGTCCAAAACTACACATCACCCCAGTTGCTTCAGGCAACAACTGATATTTTCAAATTGTTTTCCATTTTTCATCATTATCTCTCTTCAGATTCATTTAGGGAATCTATAATAATAACAAAACTATAACAAAATAATACATTTAAGAATGAATAATAATGATACATTAATGAATAATTTTTGGTTACTAGTTTAAGTTTTCTTGCTGAAATTTCTGGAATAAAAAAAATCCCACAGTGCTGACCGGGTCAATTTATGTGTCACTGAACTTTCAAGCTGCCAAAAACCCTCTCGATTGATTATGCTGGAGGCTGGACTAGTTTAGAGCCACTGTTGGATGACCTTACAGGACAAGGGATTGAGTGACACGAACGTCAATACAGGAATGGCTGTCTGTGGGTCTGTCCACAGACATACCCAGGGAAAAATTATTTGAGTCTTCATGCTGTCACATCAATACTATTCATCTCAAATGACTTTCCGTCAGCTATATAAAGTGGATATACTTCTGTAGAAGGTACATCAAGTCCCTTTGTAGAAAGGTTATAAGATTGTGAAAGGAATCAAGTTTTTTGTCCCTTCCTCCAACATGGGAAGCACATGCAAATTCGAAAGACACAGCAAAGGCAAGATTTGAACACTTATATACCCATTTACAGTTAAGAGCATAGTCTGGCAATGGAAGTATGGCGAAGTGCAACAGCTTGTCAAGCTATGCAAGGGCATTATCCACCAAAGACTGCAAATGCTACCTAAACAAAATGACTTTGACAGACGGTGACTGACTTCAAGATATGTGTGCTATTAATGAGTGGGCAGCAGACATTAGCAAGTAGCTAAATATTTAGTAGCCAGGTTTATACACGGCAGAGAGAAATTACAAGCATGTACGTCACTAGATGGCTACGACTACGTCATCCGTGGTCATCACGTCAGTCCACCTGCTAGTCATTGGTCAAGGTTGCAGGGGCTGGAGCCTATCACAGACAGTACAAGGCTGGGGTGCACTGTGGGTTGGATGTCAGTCCATAACAGGCCATTTCAAGCGTACTGTTAATTTTTGGCTTTATTACAGTAGATGACTTGCATCTAAAAAAAATCACACGGTCTGTTTCAGATGTCATGTATTTCAAAAACAATTCAATGTGAGCTATCGGTGTTGTCATGCTGAAAAAGGACTTGGCATCAGTCCTCTGTACTTGAAGAATCTGTGTTATTTAATGGTTGTTATCCATTGACTGCCAACTACAACTTTGTTTACTAATGACCATTTTTTAAACTGTATTTTTAATACACTTGTATTGTAAATGATGGTAATCAATAAGTCCTTAGGCTTGTTTGAGTCTTGACAGTACATTTCAAAATTGGAAAGAATCGCAGTTCAGATTGTGGATCACGATTGTGTCACAATATGTCACACACTGATTGTATCACAGAAGATATCGCCGGGGAGCTCGTGCTCGTATCGTCTGAGGAGTGATATGATTAGTGTGTGGAGTTCGGTAGAAGAAATACTTCCTAGATTAAACTGCTTACTACAAAGTCTTCAATAACCGGGTCATGATTTCTGGTAAGAGACGTCGCTGTTGAATTTTTCAGATGTATTTTTCTGGTACTTTAATCACCACAGGAAGAATGCCATTCACTCCCATCATATTCATGAGTAGTTCGACATTTCGCCAGCTGATATCTTCAAAACTAGGCAGAACAAACTAGATGAAGAGAGAGCACTAAAACCCATCTAAAACCATCTCTTTTCAGTTTTGGGGTGAACTGCCCCTTTAAAAAGATCATATTATTTTTTTGGGGAAAATCACCCACCTATACTTTGCAATTAATCTGTCCAATATCAATCTATGACATATCGAAAGTGCCCCCCCCCCCCCATCCACAAAAACACTATTTGCATTAAGGCGAACTGATTGTCGATTCTTGGTTTAAATCTTTGACAAACCTTCAGCGTGGCGCCAACTTCATTGAGATCATCAAGCTAAAACAAGCATCAGAAAATGGATCTCCTTCGTATGCTACGACACCTGCATTAAAGTTTATTCAATTTGCCTCCAGGAAAAATTATTTCAAAAGTAAAGAAGAAAAAAATGTATTTCTCATTTCATATTTTCTGCTGAACTCTCCTTGGGCAATTCTATAGTCAACACCCCAAAACTGGCCCCTCTAGATATAAGTTGACACAGCCCTCTATCCCTGGCCACGATTATTCTATCTGCATCAAAACCTAAAAGACCATTTTAAAAAATAGTCATTGTACTGTTCATTCCTAGTTATTGTTGAGTAATTCATACACTGTATGTGTTTGACATTGCTAGCCTTTTGAACAAAACCGCAGTTAGACAACTGGATCTCAATTTACAGCACTGTTTTACAGGTAAGAGAATACAATATTAAATCTGCATGCAACTCTCATTTAATTCTGCTTTTATCCAAATTTTAGCATTAGCACTTTTCATTTTCATTGTCATTTAAAAAAAAAAAATCTCTAATGGAAACAGGCAAATACTGAATTTATTTGCA